ATGCTGCGATGTTCTCCTCCTGCTTTGCGCTCCAGTACTGATGTCGTGTGCAAAGAGAATCTGTGCTGGCAGGTCGGAACTCGATATGTCCAGCAAGAGAAGATGTTGACGGCGGTTGCGACCCCGAAGCTCAAAAGTTAGCGTCACACTTGTCTCCGCTCATCTACACTGCGAGGTTTGCGACCTGGTCGCAGAGATCCGGGCAGCTCAGCGCCTCACACCCGTCCCGTGGTGGCACGAAGTGAGCTTCCGTGCTTTTGCCATGCTCACCCCATGTGAGGTTCTTGCACAGATGTGTGAAGAATGCGACGTCGAGATGTTTATGGTGCTGCCCAGGCGCAACTTTCACAGTGTCTCTCGCAGGCTGTACGGCTGTACACACCGCAAAACACACAGCGTCGTGGCCGAAAGGGTGGCATGGCTTAGATACTTGGACAAGCGAGTGTCTCAGCCAGTAGGAGCTCAAGCGCTGAATCGATCGCGGAAAAGATTGAGTGTTTCCCCAGGCCGTGTCAGCTCTCCGGTCTCTTCAAGAGCCTTTTGCCCCACAGGTGCCCACCAAAACTTCTGTTAGCAGGACTACAAAGCGTTCCTTTCCATGTGCTGAGATGCATTGAGCGTGAGGTTTGCTGACAGCAGCGTGGTGCAGAAGGAGGACGTTCCACATGTCTGTTGCAGTAGCTTCGGACCAGTTCCTGCACTGATCGTGAGAGTCGTCTTTCGGACTCCGCAGGCGCCTGAGCCCAGCGATCCGGATCTAATCAGCCTGATGCAGAAGCCAAGGGCTCAGCCATGAAGTTTAAGTTTGCTTCCTACTCTTCCAGGTTGTGCCTTGAAAGGTTTGGGCAGACCAAGCAGCTCTTGATGGAGACCATGAAGCCCAGCCAAGGCGCTTTGAGCAACTTCGCACAAGGTTCTGTATGCAATCGGATTGCTGTCAGGTGGAACACTGACCACCGGCTGCTTCGAAGACGCCGCTTGGGAATTGCTCGTGAAGCGAGTCGTGAATGGAGTCAACGGGGAGCTCTCGCAGTTGCACTTCCTGCAGTTCATGATCTTGCATACTACAGTTGTTTGCGGGTTTCTTTCGGTGTTGTGGTCGGCCAGGACATGTATACAAACGTATGTCCCTCTCTCCGGGAGCCTGTGGAAAAGGCCGTGGAGGATTTTGCAATGCTTTTTGTTTTGTGAATGGAGTGGCATGCTGCCTGCTTCCTTTGCATGTGCTGTGAAAGGAGCTCATGCGTGATTTAGAAGCTTGGAGCATGGAGCTGGCCAGACATTGTCCAGAGGACCCATGTTCCCTCGCATTTTCTCAGTGGAAGCCCCCCCCCCGTCACTTCTGGGAGATGCTGCGCTGCAGGACTGGAATCAATGCTGCGGCATTCTTGTGCAATGCTTATCTGGAAGTGAGAAGGAAGGGAGTAAAGGACCCTTCCGTGTCAGGACCTTAAAGTCTCAGAGGGGATGCTCATGTCACTAACATTTATCTTTTGCATTCGCAAGGTCTGAGATGGTGTAGAAGTCGGCTTCACGCGAGAAAGCGACTACAGCGACTACAGTTCTCAGCCAAGTGCGCTGTGTTCCGAACTTCTCTGGTTTCTCGAGTGACCCAACATCATATCCATTCACTGTGGCACGAACATGATTTGAGCCCGGGGTCACTCCTCACCTTGTTGACAGCAGACTTATAGCGTGGAACTCGCCGGCAGTCGCACGAATGCGCCTGCCCTGTAAATGAAACTCTAGCTGGCTATAAGGCGTAGATCTGGCCAGCTCTTAGCATTATACGCGGCATTTTCACGTGGTGCTGATCTTCCTACATGTTTAAGCAAGAGATACCCAGACGAGCATCACACTTGCCGCATTCAGCATACTTTCATTGCTTTCCCAAAGGGAACCTTACGGCTCGCGCACGTCTAGCGTGAATCTTCGAATCGTCGGCTATCACATGTACTGTCAGCAGGTAGTTGGCACTTGTTCACAGCCTTCGGAACATGCGATGAAGCGCAGCCGTGCACGAATTTTGACGTTCGTCCTTGCCTACCCGATAACGGCAAGAGAAGTGCTGCATGCGTTGCACTGCCAAACACTCAGTCTGCCGAGCAGCGCATGGGTTCTGGCCCAACTAGAAGGTGTTTTTTCTCTTTGGCGAAACGGCGAAAGCCTAAGGCTCGAACTGCGAAGCAGTTGCTGACCACTCAATAGCTTGGGATAGAAGTTTGAGCTACATGTAGACGTAATTTAGACATCATAGACACTACCGTAAGAAGTACACCTGCCATTCGCTTGCAAACCTGGCGTCTATCGCGTACAGCTTGGGAGCACCGCTGGCAAAAGTGCGCTTGCACTACCAACTGCAGCGTGCTCTCTGGTTCGATATATTGAAGGATGGAGTCCCTCTGTTGGAGTTCAGGATCCGTGACCAGGGTCATCTCCTAGCTATAGGATGGCACGGGGAAGTTTGTTCGGGCTGCGGTGTTGTTTTCAAGAGAAGGGTGACCATGGAAGCCATGTCCGTAGGTGCTGGGCTCGATCTTTCCGTTCTACTCGGATGCCTTTAGGGTCCCATGCTGGGCCTTGAGACTGAGAATGATAGCTTCCGGCAGGCCTTCTGGGCCTCACTGTTTCTGATCATAGCTGCAACCTGCGGTCATGCAGCGATTTACGTTTGCGACCAGGGGCGGACACGAATCATCGAGATTGAACACGTTCGCACTCGAAGCGTGGATGTGGACACGTTGCTTCGACGACTGCCCGAATCGGTGAGCAAAACGATCCATCAGACGTCGACGCCTCATGGAACAACCTTTCAAGTCCTTATGCTCTTGGCTGCTCTGCTCATTCTGTCCAGCGAGTTTCCAAAGCACGAATTCGTGCAGAAGAGTGTGAGCATCCGCTCCATGGGCTTCGACGTATGCCGTTGCCTCTGCCCTGTTGTGGGAATTCTTATGCTCATTTTCGTTCCAATGTCACACGACTTCATTGTTATGACCGATCGTTTCAAGCAGCCTGGCTACAAAGTCACTCGCGAAGACAAAGTTATTTTCTATGCGAACAAGATGCAGGAGGACATGCACACGGCTGCCGGAGCTCTCGCGTTCGCAGTCACTCCAGCGCTTGAAGGCATGCATTCACGTCCCACTTCTTCCTACTTGGCTTTGAGTAAGCACCAGTCATTCATTCTTAAATTTGGTGGCCGTTTTGATTGGGATCGTGGTAAAGGAATGTGATATCGCTGACAGACTTTGTGCACACATACAGCAGCATGGCATGGATACAGTGCCATGTGACAAGTAATCAGCGCGGCCAGTCGTCCCTTCAAGCCGGAGATTCTGCTTCCCTGTCTGTTTCATTAGTATTGCTGCTACTACTGCTGCTACTAAGACGACGACTACTCCGACTCCGACTCCGACTCCGACTCCTACTCCTACTCCTACTCCTACTCCTACTCCCACTCCCACTCCCACTCCCACTCCCACCCCCACTCCCACTCCCACTCCCACTCCCACTCCCACTCCCACTCCCACTCCCACTCCCACTCCCACTCCTCCTCCGACTCCGACTCCCACTCCCACTCCTCCTACTCCTGCTCCTGCTTCTGCTGCTACTCCTCCTCCTCCTACTTCTACTCCTGCTGCTGCTGCTGCTCCTACTGCCATCATCATCATCCACCACCACCACGACACTACTACTGCTGCTTCTACTACTACGACTACGACTACTACTACTACTACTACTACTACTACTACTACTCCACAGCCACTGCTACTACAACTGCTGCGCAGGTAAACTTTATGTCCGCGCACGCTTCATTGGTGTGAAACTGAACTCCCGCAACTTGCAGGTTACGCGATCGGTCGCGCATATGTGCAGTTTTTTGGGACCGGCATCGGCGAGCATTATGTAGCCTGGAGCCATGGTGATACGCCGACATACATGTGGCTGGCGCTTCTTGTCGCGCGTACCTTCATGCTTGCTGGTACCAACGTATGCCTGTGGAACATGGTTTACGAGTGGTTCTGCGAACCTACAGCGAGGGCTACTCGGAATCCCTACTATATCTACACGACGGAGAAATCACTCATTCGCCAGTTGCTGAATTACATTCTTCTCCTCGGCATGTCGATTTGGTTTGTAAATTCAGTGCAGTTTGACTTGATGATGCCATGGGCGCAAAAGTTGCTCCTGGGGATCTCAGCTGTGGCCTCTGCTGCCACCTGTTGCTACGCCCTGTCAACTTTCTGGTATTTGACATTCAAGGAGAGGCAGCTTGTTCTTGAAGAAGTGAGTAGCTTTTTGTTCGGGCGGTGTGGCATGTGTGGCTAAGTTTTTGCATGGTAGCTTCCCCGTCTTCAGCACGAAGGTATCTGAACCCAAAGGAGATGGAGAAGGTTCTTCGCAAAATCGTCAATAAATCGGAGGATCGAATGGAAAGATACACCACCGAGCTGGAGGCCCTTCATGAGAAGTGGTCCATGTGCTACGCAGACGAGGCATCCTTCGAGACGGACTCTTCAAGCGACGGCTTGCTGGGCGGAATGTGTTAGAATAGGATCGCTCCGAGCAGGCGAGGACATGAAAACAGGCGCCGCTGTCGAGTCAGGATGGGATCTTCAAAGCGCGGCTACCAAAGCACCCGAGATTTGGGAGGACTGTGAAGAGCCGATGCATCACATTGAGATGATACATCCCAGGTCCCAAGAGATTGATCGGCTCAAGTACAAAAGGGCACTTGCATGTAAAGTCTAGCCGCCCAGTGGCCACTATATCATCTGTATGGTGAGGTATTCCAGAGCGGACTGATATGATACATGTAGCCGAATGATCAACACGCAGGCATACCAGAGCACGTGTATAGAGGCCGGAAAAGGGAGTTTGCGATGAGCGGCGTGTTTCAGGACTAGGCCCCGGCACACCTCTGTACTCAGTTGTTTCGCTGCTCGACTTTGACAGGAACCGCACTGATCCCACAGAGCTCATGGTTGTTGTACACCGCCATGGAAGAAACCTGAGCTTCCTTCCCGAAATGAAGCATTGTGTCGTCAAGCCTGTTGCAGCCCAGGCACAGACGGAACTGCATTTGGACGGATTGGGCATCCGCAAGATCGTGGAGACACCGCCTGGAATCAAGGCTCTCATGCAGTGAGCCAGAATGTTGGGGACTTTGCGGATCTCTGGGTTGCTACGAACTTTCGTGATATGATATCGAGTTTACCCCCTCTGTCGCTTGGAGGTGCTGTCAATCAGCGGAAATCGTCTCAGAAGCTTGGGTTCCGTGCCGCTGGCATGTTGTTACCCCTCACAAGCTCATTGAAGTCCAGCGCGGCATTGGTGCTTCTGCCGAGATTGCGGCCTGCGTGACGTTGGAGGAGATCAATCTGGCAGCCAATAAGCCAGGAACTTGGGCAAAGTGGGGAATCCCACGTGAGGCTCGCCGCAGTTCCCACACCGAGGTTGAATGAGGACGCCTTAGCACCGCTGGCAGCGCTGCCAGCCCTCAGGGTCCTCAACATCTCCAGGACAGTCGCTAGATCTGGAGTTCTGTAACTCACGCTCTGCTTCCACATGCGTTGTAGTGCCAGAGGTCTTGTATTTTATGTGGAATTTTGTACCCGATGCGGGCTTTTGTTTCCATTGGTTTCTGGAGAATCGGGCTCAGACAAGCCTGAAGCCCCGAACTGCTCATCAATTTTTGCTTTTGTTATGTCCACACTCTCTGGATTCTGACTTAGAGACTTGGTTCGTGCGCGTGCTCGGCGGCGGCGCACAAACTTTCACAGGGACGTGGCTTTTTCTGTGGTGTGGGGCATACTTCCATTTCATGTCTTGTTATTACGCAGGGTCGCGGTGGACACAAGTCTCCGCCAGCGGGCCACCTTTTGTCTTCGGAGTCTTTGACAGCGGCCACATTAGGGGGAGAAGTTTGCTCTTTCTAGTAAATCCCGCCGCCACTTGGGGGAAAGGATTTTGCTGCGCTCCTGAATTCTCCAGGATCCCGTCAGTGCTTGCAGGAAGGCATTTTGGCCGCGTGCCTGAATTCCCCGATGTTTCGGGAAGTCATTTTGGGCGTGCGTTTGAGGAACTCATTCCGGTCGTGCTCCTGAATCCCGTCAGTTGCTGGCAGAAGCATTGTAGCTCGCCAGTACTTGGTGGAAGCAGTTGGCCGTGGTGCATGGTCTCCTGTTTGTTATTTGGTGGTGCGCGGTCGCTTGATGGTCTGTGGTTTGCGGTGGTCTGGTGGTCTCTGGGTGCTCTCTTGGCAGCCTCCTTGTGGTGGTCTTGGTGGTTGCAGTGGTCGTCGTGGTGCTCTGTCACTGTTTGGGGATCTACGCCGGCACAGCTTGTTTTCTTCCTTCCTGCCCGCCAAGCCCTCAGAGGAATCATGTCCGCGACCTCGGGCCGCTCTTCTTGGCCTCCAGCTCAGCGGCTCTGCCGCGCGGCGGCTGAGACGAAGGCACTCTCTGAAGCCCAGGCACCACCCAGCTTGGCAGCGCAAAGCCGCGCCTTCCCAGCTTTGGAGGCCCGGTTGCACCTCATTTGGTCCAAGGATTCCCAAGCTCTCCGTCAGAGGTCTTGAACATATCGGCAAATGCGGCTCTCAGCGATGTGACTGCAGCAATGTCACTGCAAGTGCCAAATCCTTAGTGCTTGCACTGCTTTCCAACGGCAGGCAATACCCGCAACTTAACACCACGCTGAGGCTGCGAAGTCTTACAGCTACTGGCCTCAACGTGACGTCTCTACACTGTGTCCACTGCAGCCTGGAGGCCTTGCAAAAGCACGCTCTGCGACTTGCATTCTTGCGCCTGTGCACAGTGAAGGTGATAGACCTGCGTGGATGTTGTCTGCAGAGGGTTACCTCCCTGAAGGCACAGCACATGTGTGTCGAGAGCACCTTCTTCCCTTGAAGCCCGGAGTCTTCAGAACTTGCTGCAGGCAGTCCCGTACTTGTCCGAGATGATGCTGGACGGCAACGCACTTCTGTCCTGCAAGGACCGGAGATCTTAAGGAATCTGCAGCGGTCTTTGACCTACTGATGAAAGCGATGTGCTTTGCCACGCGTGAGAAGGGAAGTTGTGCAGACTGCAAATGGTTTTTCTGTAAGCCGACCTGTGATTGTTCAAGATTGTGCAGCATAGACCATCATTCCGGCATGCGTCTGTTTGCTGTGATCCGTGTCAGATCCACATCAAAAATCGAGACTCCGTCGCAAGAGTTTGCCCATGAGGTTCAGCCATCTCAGGTGTCCACTGTTTGACAGCTGTGGCTGTATGATTTCTGGAATATGCCTACCGCCAACCGAAAGCCCAGCCTCGACAGGACTTGCTGGAGCATTCAATGCTGCAGGACTGCGCAACATTGCAAAACTGCACAAGCAGCTCGAAGAGACGGTGATAAGCTGCGGCTCGTTTTCGACTTGAGACCCTCCGCTTGGCGCACAACGCCATCGAGGAAATCAGTGCCGCGTTTTCCCCAGACTTCCCAGAAATTCAACCTGCATCTCAGCCAGAAGGGATCTGTGGACCCAGGTGCAGCTGCCTTCTCTGACAGAGCTGGACTTGGCATCCAACAACATCTCCCAGGCGATAAGTCGCATGAAACTCTACTTTTCGCTTTGACTTGGCAGAGCCCTGGCCGTTGAAACTCCCGGAAGTCTCGAGGCCTTGCACCTGGCAGGAGCTCCGCGCCTCGTGTCTCTCGCTTCCTCCTTATTTGGGGGTCCCTATAATAAGGATCCTGCTATTTGGGGTACTATATTAGGCCGGAAAAAGGGTTGCTGGAAAGTCAGCTGCTGACGAGGTCGTGCGTGGCAACCAGCTCACATCGCTAGGCTGGGGCTGGCGGTGGTGAAGTGTTTGTTCCTTCGCAGGTTTCTGGCCCTGTTTTGCGCCAGTTTCTCTTTCACCATTGCGCAGCCTCACATTCTTGGACGCCTCGCAGAATCAAATACGTGCACTGGAGTCACTGCCCCAGCACCAATGCCAGTTCGTCCGACTTGGTACGTTTCCATGTTCTGAACCTGACCTCCTCCTTGAGAGTCGGTTCTGGAGGCCATCTTTGCGCTGGAGTCTGCGACCGCTGCGAGTGCTTTTGTTAAATGGCATGAGGCTAAGGCGAGCTCGGCTCCTGTGTTCGGCCCACCTGGGGCTTCCGAGGCAACGAGATCGCCGATGTAGAGGACGGGACGGGGCAGACAGAGTTGGAGAATTTCTGTTCACCTGCCTTCTCGCAGGATGTTGCGCAGACTATGGAAATGGCCGGCGGCTTGAGCTTGGAGTGGGGCCCTCGGCCCGATGTCGTTGTTATACGCCGACAAGACTACCGCCAACGCCGAAAATCGAAGACCTTCGATTCCAGTTTGTGCCGACAAGGAGCACGGAGTGGAGTCTGGCGGGTTTCGAATCTCGAAGTTTCCCCTAAGTCCGTGAAGGTTTGCAACAGCGCGCGGGGATGTCCGAGCGCAAGTCTGAAATTTCACCACTACTGTATGGGTCGCCAAAATCGAGCACGGAAGGAGTGTGCGAGCAGGCCTTGAAGAACCGCTCACCAATTCTCGATCCTGAGCTTGGTTCCAGTTCCTTCAAAGATTAGGCTTCCTGTGTTCTCCGGCGGTTTGCACTGCCCTGCGGGATGCCGTGCGTCATGCTTTGTGTCACTCTCAGTGTCATGCTGTTCGCCTGTAGTAGTACAGCGGACGAACTCTTGCAAAGCACCTTCCTTCTCATCCTCACCGCACCAATCCCAGGCATCTGGATTTGCGGAACAATCCCCTCAGCACGGCGCTGAGTGTCGATACACCGAGGGGCTCTTCTCTCTCGCATGTTGATGGGCAGGCATCGCCTTCTATCCGTTTGCAGAGAAGTTGCCCACATGGACCTCAGCCTTTTTTTGCTGAGCTGTCTGTCAGTGCATGTCATGTCATGCACAGCCGTGGCCCCTGCAAAGATGTTTGGGCTTTCGTGTGAACTGCGATGACCAGGACATGGGAAGCAAGTGCAACCCTGGAAGACTTCGCCTCCATCAGCGCCGGAGTCTTGGAGCTCAGTTCTATTCTGCGGGTGGCTGTGGCTTCCTACTTGATGGCCACCTTGACTTTCCGTAGTTCGTGACAGCTCAGAGCTTGTTGAATTCACTGTCTGCGAGGCTTTGTTTAGCTCCGGATGCCGGCTTGCTATCACTTGTGAGGACGGATACGACTCAGTACCGCGAAGCTTACGAGATCGTGGACGCCCAAAGACCTCAGCACGAGTCACATTGCTGCGCATCCTGCAGTGGCAGTCGCCCAGGTTACTGGCACCGGATGTCTTTGTTGAGCCCTTCGTTGCAGAGCCGCGATCTCAACTGCTCTCGAGTTTGAAAGGTTTCAAGGAGAGCCGAGCGAGCACCGGAGGCTTGGACGGGATGCTGAGGGACGCACGGCGTCTGCCGTTGCCTCTTTAGCTTAAGTGCTGTGCGAAGACTTGAGTTTCTACACCATCCAAGGCCTGAAACTGTGGCTCTGAAGCAAGATCGATCCACAGCTCTTGCACTTCAAGGACCTCGGAAGCATTCGGAAACAGGCTTGCTTGTTGCCTGACATCGCAGGAGTTGATGGCGATGAGGTGATGTATTGCACACCCAGGCAGCCCGCGAAAACTAGCTCCTGGGCGCTAGCGTGTACAAGCCCCGTTTTGGGTCTGTACCGCATCGGATTCCAGTGTGGGGGGAGTCGATTCTGCACCGTCGGTTCTCTCACGGTCGACCATCTTCTGTGGTCCTTTTTTTGTGACTTCAACCTCTGCTCGTGAATGTGTCACGACGTACACCAGATGCAGGCGCAGCGCAGAAGCCTCGACACAGGCTTGTTTGGATCCGTGCCGTGCAAGCTACCGCTCATGTGTGCGACGTCGTGCGCAGGACTTCGTGGCAGAAGGCACATTCAGGCGAGCTTCTGTCGCTCGAACTGTTTCAGAATACATGTCTGCCTCTGCAGCCCCAGGAGCAACGAGGCCATCCCTTCGGAAGGTAGAAGCCAAGGCAAGGTACATGGTCGCACTGACATAGCGAAGGCGGTACCGCTTCGTTGGCCAAGGCACCAACGCGCAGCTTCCGACACAGCCGCTGACGGTGGACACAGCCGACGCAGAGCCATCCCTGGAGTTCCCATGTGATACAAAAGCTGTTGTATCTTAGCGGCCCCAGGCCACTTCGCCCGTGTTCCGGGAACGTGAAGGCGCGAAGCTTTGCGCATCGAGCGAGGACCAAAGTTTTTCCCAGCAGGCTCACGGGACCAGGCTTCCAGCGCAATGTCCACCGAAGCGCTCCTGAATTTGGGCCTGGCGTCGGAGACTCAAACCCAGCCGAGGCTTTTGAACACATCAGCGCCCCCATCGTTTTCAGGCCTGAGTTGCTCGGTGAAGCGCAGCGAAGAGCAAGGAGAGCAGAGCAGCCACCAGTCGTCCTCGCGATGGAGGCCTCCATTCTGCCTTTCAGTCGTTTATCATTCAGATGAGAAGCAGGGCCTTTGCAGCTGCGGAGGTGGCAGCCGCAGCTGCCGCGGCCGCTGTTTCTGCCGCATCTACAGATCAGGCTTGCTGTTCTCAGTGCCGTGGTCTGCTGTGCCTATCTGCAGCCGAGTTTGCTTAGCCGGGTGTGTGTTTTGTTGTTCCCTGCAGGTGTTTGGCCAGTACCAAGCAAGAGCCTCGCCAGAGCATCGAGGAGGCCAGCGGTGCTCGCAAACCGCAAAGGAGGGCTCTTTCCTCGTGGCACTGTTGCACTTTCCCAGGCCGCCGACATGGCTCGGAGCAGCCTGGGCCTTCCCATGGCTCGGCTGAAGGCCCTGGGCTGTCTGCCGTCTGCATCCGTCCGCCGTCTGCCAGAGTCTTCCCTGCAGGTCTCGGCCCGGGCTCCATCTGGACGGGGGAGAGGTAAGCTTACGCAGAGCCCTGGGGGGGGGAACCCCTGGGAAGTGGAAGTCGTGAGTCGTGGCGGCTGCTCGAGAGGTCGGTTCCCGATGGTCAGGCAGAGCAGGCTGGGCGATCGAGTGCAAACGCATTTCTCGCAATAGCACCCGGAACAGGTTGATGAAGGAGTTACTTCAAGTCAAGGCTCGTTCTTGCCAGTGGTTGACTTGAGCGTGCCGTCCCCATAATTTCGCCGGGCTGGAGAGAAGTGGTGGCTCGTGTTCTGTGATGTGTAAGGCCTGTGCCGGACGCGGTCCACTCCCTGCAGCAGACAGCCTGCACCGACCCCAACAGCGGACGGCACGGGAGGTTCATCGGTCTGTTCAGCATTCTGGCAGGTCGGCACGGGCCGCATCTGCGCAGCTCCCAGGTGTCTCGGTCGCTTCAGGGCAGGGCTGCTCGTGGCCCCGATAGTGCCAGCAGACAGAACTTCGAGATGGCCATCGGTTGCAAGAGATTTAGGGTTTGACGGTTTGAGTCTGAGTTTAATTGCTGTTGTGCGAAACAGTACTCGTAGTTGTCTGGAGGATATGGTTCAGACAGATTCAGACATGTCCAGACACGAATTCTGAGCACCTGTGCCCAGACACACCCTGAGAAACTCATACACTGTCGATATCATCTGGGTCTTGTTTAGTTTCCATTATTGTTCATTTCTCTGTTATGTCACAGGCAGTGTCTGTGCCCCGGTGACCACATAGTTATCGCTGTTCCATCAACCCAACAGCGAAACCCGACGCCTGCTCGTCGTGCCAGCCGCCTACTTCGAGGGCTAACGGCTTGTCTGCGGCTGGCCAAACAAATCCCCAAAAGAGAACAAATCGAATAGTCTCGTCGCCTCGAGTTGCCTGCCGCGCGCACGATTGCACATGCCCCGGACGCAGGGATGAGTTCGGGCCAGCCTGACCAGGACGCCCTTGCAGAATCCTAGTGCCTAGTGGTGGCGTTGGCAGCAGCCTTGATCCAACGTTTCAGGAGACTTTGCCGAAACTTGCGGAGCCGCCAGGGGAGAAGGAAGCTTTGAAAGACCACAAAGACCCACAGCGAGGGGATAGGGCTCCAGAGGCTCCAGGCGAGCCGAGCGGAGTATGGAGAAGGGCAGATGCCGGCGAAGCAGTGGCGTCGCAAGTCCCCTCGCAGCTACTGGACGTCCTCCAGCTGGAGGATGCGCTGCGTGAGGAGCTCTTGCATAAGGGAACGGAGTTCGAGAAGCAGCAGCTGCAGATTGTGGACAAGCTTGAGCGGGCGCACGAAGACTTGGCCAGGCAATGGCAGGAACTGGACAACGAGCGGAAGAAGTCGACGGAGCAGCAGCAACAGCAACGAGAGCTCCTGGCAAAGGAGCAAGCTGAGCTGGCCCAGTACTTCAAGGAGTTTGAGTCCGAGATGGAGAGGAGATACACATGGCAGCAACAACAGAAGCAGGAGTTCGAAGAGCAGTGGCACGAAGAGTTGACGAAAAGAAGGCAGACTTGGACGAGTGAGCGTGAGAAAGAAAGGTACAAGTTGCAGGAATGTTTCCACGAGCTAGCGGAGCAATTCCAGGGAAAGCTGGCAGCAGCACAGACGAAAGCGGAGGTTCGCATCAAAAGCGAGGAGACCTCTGAACGCTCTGCAAGCCAAGGGGCAGATTCTGCTGCTCCTGTCCCAATTGGTGAAGGGAACCACGGGAATCGAAGCCAAAGCAACCCGACAGGCCCGTGCGTGGGGTCGCCGCAGGACAGGTCCAGCGAGCTGCTTCAGCCAAAGCTGGATCCACAGGTCCGGGCGAGGCTCCTGGGCCTCGCACCGAGACAGGCGCAGGCCGCAGAAGCCTCATTGCCATTGCAGGCTCCAGAAGCCATCACTCAGCAGAGGGAGATGATTGCACATCAATGTCAAGCCTGTGGTGTGTGCAGCTCCTCCTCCACCCCCGGGAGCTCTACAACGAGAGCCGGCGTGGCGGTTGCCAGACCAGCACCTGCGGCCCCAGCGACCCCTTCACGCCAGGGCCTCCAGGGTGTCGAGCCAGGAACGGGCCGCATCTCGGAGCGGCCGTGGCAAAGAGATCAAGATGCTGCACTTCCACGCAAGGCCGGGTTTTCGCGGAGCTCGCGCCATGCTTTGACGAGATCGCTTGCAACACTCTCGAGGTCACGTTCCTAGATCCGCCTGGAAGTAATGGTGCCTTTCGGCGAGCAAGGTCCTGAGACACGCATGCTCGAAACTCGAAACGGAACGGGTCCTGTGCACTGAGGCCTTGCAAGGTCAGGGGATCTGGGAAGTCGAAGATTCTCCGAAGACCAAGGAGGTGCATAGTTTAGCACTGCTCCCACGTTGATGGTAGCCCACTGCGTAAAGGGATCATGTTTGTGCCAGGCCCAGGCCCAGGCGTCGGCGCCAGCGGAGCTCTTGGCCTCGGAGTCGCGACCTTGGATGACAGCCGAAGCCAGTTTCGATAATGCCACTAGCAGAAGTCTCGGCAAAGACTTAAGGCATGGACTGGGTAGGCATGCATGCCTGCACAGCTTGATCTGTCTGCCATGGTATTCGTCCGTTTTTTCGGGGGCTCAGGCCCTTGAGCGGCAGTCCCATTCACGCAGCTTGCCGGGCGGAGGCATCGCAATCATGTTCACAGCGGCTATTTGGTTCGTACATCTCCCCATTCTTGCTTCGAGCCCTCAAGCAGAACCATCCCCGTGGTGCATGCTCGAAAGTTGAAGCATGTTCAAAAGCGCTGCGGAGGCAGAGAACATGCAGGTGAACGGTCATCCGCGTGATTTAACGATCACAGCTTCGCTGGATGCCGCATCCTTGGACACCACCATGAGTCGCTGCAAGGGGCTTTGTAGTGTTGAGCCTTCCAACTTTGAGAAACGCCAGATGCCGGCGCACCCAGGAGGAGGGAAGCCAAAGGGTGGTTTCGAGCACGGAGGCGTCCCTTCCGTCTTGATTGTATATAGGCTTGTCCAAGGTCATGTAGTTGTCAGATGGACAGAGTGTGCATTAACTTCGTGTAGCGGTGATGTCGGTTTCGTGTTGCGCTGCACATGCAAGCCAAAAGCTAGACCCTGCCGTGGTCGCTTCCCTTGCAGAAGGCCAGATCGAATGGCCGCTCGGAAGCATTTTGAGGCCGTGGTGGAATGTCTGAGCACACCGTGCAATATCGTGTGTCACTGTCATTTTGCTGGCTTGCAGTTCTGCGTTGTCATGGCTGAGAACTGGAAGCCCGAAGCTTTCAGTCCATTCGTGATGTCCCCGTTCTTTCGGGCATGTCACCCAAAGCTAGAACATTTCTCTTGTGTAGCTCGTTGCATCCATGCTTTGTCTTTGTCTTTGCGCCGTTTGCGATGGGTACCCAATTCTACAATGAAGAAGTGGCCTGTGATTTCTGTTGAGACTGTGGAGGAGAGTACCCAGTCCAAAGCGCGTCCCGAGTCCGTGGCTTGTGTTCACCTGCTGGCCAAGGCTACAAATTTCCGGCTAACTCAAGAAACCACGTTGTTGTAAATCAGAGTTGGTGGCTCGTGTAAGAAATGCAATGTCAGGCCTGACCAGTATCAGGTTCCAGGGCTGGAACACCTTGGAAGGGACGCGCTAATCCGACCACACCATTCGAGGGCATTGAGGCCAATATTAGTCACGCCCGTTTCCCCTCTCCTGGCTCGTGAAACAGCTGAGCTGTTCGGGGTGTGCGGATGTAAAGACAAAGCAGAGCTGCGACAGCAGAGGGTAGAGTGTTGCAGACAAGTTGCGGAAGACTGCCTAGGCCAAGACTCGAGGCAGGCCTACTTGAGGCTTCTGGATTGCAATTGTGCTTTCTTGTTTTGTTCTGGAAGGTTTCAAAGTCAAGCTCACAAGCATGCAGCATGCTGCAGGTTTCTTCGGAGCGAGATGCTGGCACAGCAAGCTTATCTTCGGTCGGACACCTGCTTTCATGACTTGACGGACGTGTCCATGCCTGTGCTGATGTGGACAGAGACCCTTGATCTGCAGGGAGATTAGAAGCGCCAGACAAGCGAAGAAGCAACATCTGAATCTGTGTTGTTCTGAGCTGGTCGGTGTGGGCAGGGTGCTGCAGCATCACTTCTAGACCTGACTCGTGAAGGCAAAAGGCCTCGCCCAGGTGCCCTGAAAGAGCCATGCAGGCACGGTGCGCTGGTCGTTGCATGTCTCCCGCAAATTTTAGCCGAGCCTGGTCAGGCTCGTCCATCAGAAGATGCTTCGGGAAGCACAGGCCAGAGTCTTCAGGTCTTTCAAAAAAGGGGCGAAGACAGGTCTGCTGAAAATTCGACCTTGGAAGGGCACGCGATCTGAACCTTTCTGAGGTGCTGGGCGGGCCCGTTCCTTTTCGCCACGGGCGAGGGCCTGAAGCTGCTCCCAAGCAACGTTCAAGTCTCCAGTATCAACGGTCTGGAGATTCGTCATGGCAGAAAGCATGATTCGGCCTCGACATGTTGAAGCCGAAGGTTCAGATTTTACGCCAGGGGCTTGCTGAAGTGGCCGACTTTAGTTGCGGACTGAGCTTGTCCAGCCGACCTGCTTCACCTGTGCTCACCTATCGTCACCCGTTCTCCTGGAGGCAAGCGTGTGCCCGCCCAGCCATCTTCACAGCTGCGGCAGGTGAAGGCCTGCCTCGCGCCTGTTCGAAACGGTCGCTTCTGCTCCTTGCTCTGTGAAAAAGCGCTGGCGGCCAGCGGCGGCCAGCGGCGGCCAGGTGGTTGAGGAGAGCCAAGTCGAAAGAGGACCTCCGCAGAGCACGGCTCTTGGAACAACCAGAGGCTAACCTGTACACTCCGCGAAACCACGTCGGCAAGAGTTCCACGGAGGTACGAAGACTGCTGCTGACGACGGTGCTTGGCACTGCACGGTGACACCCGCCGCGGGCTTGCCATGGAATGCTTCTGGCTCCTCTGAGCGAGAAACAGAATTTCTGCAGGTCAATGCTGGAGTGCGTGGCGCTTTGGAGGCTCTGGTGGCTCAGCAGGCGACGTGACGTGGAAGAGAGCCCAAAGCATCGGCGATTTCTGCTCTGCGAGGCTTGGTCCGTTCCGGGCAAGCCTTTGGCCTACACCTACTCGCTCCCTGGCCTCTAAAGACAAGCGGCAGCTGTTCAGCTGTTGCTGCGCCTTTGCAGCCGTGGGAGGCTTGGCCGTGCGATCCAGAACATGACGCCTCCGGCGAGGCAGCGCTTCGACGCAGCGATCTCGAGAGACTCCGCTCGCGAAGGCGAGCGGAGGCATTCCTTTTGCTGTGACCGCTGCGACAGAGTAAAGAGATCTCCTTGCAAGGGCTATTGCCGCCGTTGCTCGGCTTCTCGCAGCGAGCGTTCTTCTTGGATTCCAGCAACAGGATGTCCGAGGTGAGAATCCACAAGCGCCTCCCACAGCAGATGCAGCAGTTCAGGAACACCACTGGTCGCAGGTGATCTCGTCTCCCTTCGGCTTTGCCGCAGTCTATAAGGGCCCTACAGCACTTCTCTTCGCACACAACTTATTCACGGCACGTGAGAAAGAGCGAGTTCGTTCCTCTCAGAAAAGCATTTCTTGAAGACCTTGGTCTCTGAGGCCTTGGAATTGAGACAAGCCGAGCGGTTGAGTCAAATCCTCAGATGCAGTGCAAGCGGCACAACAACTCACGCCACGCGCGGCCGATAGCAAGAACATCTCTTCTAAGGCCATCCTCGATTGTATGGAGCGCATGCAGGTCGGCTCGGCTAGTCGATTCAGCTTTGCTCACTCCTTCTCCGAGCACGTCGCACTTCGCTGAGGTCGAGTGATCCTGGCAGAGATTGCGCTGGGACGTTGCCACACCGCGTGCCTTTCTGAGACCGCCAGTTTCGCTTCGCTTCGTGTGGGCTTTGCGGCTCAACAAGGCGTTGCTCCCTGCATGAAGCGGTGACGGGCCAGGCCGACGGCAACGCAGTCTCAGGCCTGACAAGGGGAACTCAGCTGGTCCTTTCATGGCGCTGCGACCACTGCGCAGGTTTGGGAAGTTCGGTGCCTTTGGCACTGTCCTTAATTTCTCACACGGAGCGGGAGCACTGATCCTGATCTGAAGTCTCAAAGGCAAATGTCTTGGAAGTTGAGTACCACCGCGGAGCAGACTCAGTGCCGTTGCCTTAGAGGTGCCCCGAAGAAGAGTCCGTTGTCTCTGGCGAGTGTGGCCTTGAGGTATTTCCCTAAAGTTGGAGTTGTGGCACTCCTGTGCCCAAAGCTCTGCAGTATGATGGACGGGTGGCACAGCCGTTTTCTCTGAAGCGACCGAAGGTCCGTCTCGGGCCCTTCCAGTATTTCTGGCAGAGTGACCTCAGCTTTTCCTTTGGCAGCCCTTCGTCAGGGTAGTGTAGACCGGCTCAAGTACCCCGCCAGGTACTCTCGTCAGCTCGTTGGACAGTGACCGTCTCGGATCTGCGCGACCTGGCGTGATTCGGCACGGGTCCTCGGCCTTTCACGCCACCACAATTCGTCTGCAGGTAATTCGATCTGGATCGAGTGCTTGTAATTAGTTATGCATGCTTGTCCGTGAGCCGGACGGCCTCAACCTTGAAGGTTGGGCTTCTTATCTCAGCTGTCGGGGCTTGTCTGTCTTAGCCTGCAGCGCATGCCTGCACGGAAGGACAGCTTGGCATCAAAAAAGATGCGCCGGCACATCAGGTGTTGAGGCGGCGCACAAGACACTCTTTAAGCCTGTTGCTGCTTGTTTGAGTATCTCGCACCACGGTGACAAAATTTAGGCTTTGAAGAGCTACCTGGGCTCAGTGACAGGGTTCCCTTCTACCACCTACAGGCTTGCTTTGCAATGCCGGTGCCTGAGCCTGACGTCACAGTCCCGGAGGGCGACAGCAAGAAGGGCGCGAAGCTCTTCAAGGCCAAGTGTGCTCAGTGCCACACAATCGAGAAGGGTGGGAATGCCAAGCAAGGCCCACCTCTCTGGGGCCTGCCCGGTCGCACATCTGGAACCTGTGATGGTTTCGCATACTCGGAGGCAAACAAGAACGCAGCAATCGTTTGGTCGGACAAGCACCTCTTCGAGTATCTCCTGAACCCGAAGAAGTACATTCCCGGAACCAAGATGGTGTTTGCAGGCATCAAGAAGGAGAAGGAGCGTGCCGACCTCATTGCCTACATGATGGAGATGAAGTGAGGGATGGGTCCCATGCCGGGCAGCTTGATTTTAACACAAACTCCGTGCAGAACTCCGTACAGCGTCACTGTTTTCTGGTCGCATTCCACGGTGTCGTGAGCGGTGTGCTGACAGGTTCTGATTCATTGATGTAAAACATGTTGGGGAGAGTGAGGTGGAGCGAAGTTGAGGCGAGTTGTGTGCTCTTGCCCATTCCGCATGTTTGACCACAAACGGAATTGTGGGCTTCCGGCGGCGTTGGCGTTTGTTGCTCAAGCCAACAGCTGGTAGGACCTGGCAGCAATCTGGTCAAAAACCACCACACCTTCGCTGCAATGCCGGTGCCTGAGCCTGACGTCACAGTCCCGGAGGGCGACAGCAAGAAGGGCGCGAAGCTCTTCAAGGCCAAGTGTGCTCAGTGCCACACAATCGAGAAGGGTGGGAATGCCAAGCAAGGCCCACCTCTCTGGGGCCTGCCCGGTCGCACGTCTGGAACCTGTGATGGTTTCGCATACTCGGAGGCAAACAAGAACGCAGCAATCGTTTGGTCGGACAAGCACCTCTTCGAGTATCTCCTGAACCCGAAGAAGTACATTCCCGGAACCAAGATGGTGTTCGCAGGCATCAAGAAGGAGAAGGAGCGTGCCGACCTCATTGCCTACATGATGGAGATGAAGTGAGGGATGGGTCCCTACGCCGGGCAGCTTGATTTTAACACTAACTTCGTACAGAGTTCCTGTTTTCTGATCGCATGCCACGGTGTCGTGAGCATTCGGATGTCCTGACAGGATCCGACTCATTGATCAAAATCACGTGGGCGAGAGTGAATGGCTTCCGCAACGAGTCGTGAGGTGAATCGTCCTATTGCCCACTTTACATGTTGAGCCAAAGACGGATTTTGCTGTTTGCCGACGTTTGTTGCTCAAGCCAACAGCTGGTAGGACCTGGTAGCAATCTGGTCGAAAACCACCACACCTTTGCTGCAATGCCGGTGCCTGAGCCTGACGTCACAGTCCCGGAGGGCGACAGCAAGAAGGGCGCGAAGCTCTTCAAGGCCAAGTGTGCTCAGTGCCACACAATCGAGAAGGGTGGGAATGCCAAGCAAGGCCCACCTCTCTGGGGCCTGCCCGGTCGCACGTCTGGAACCTGTGATGGTTTCGCATACTCGGAGGCAAACAAGAACGCAGCAATCGTTTGGTCGGACAAGCACCTCTTCGAGTATCTCCTGAACCCGAAGAAGTACATTCCCGGAACCAAGATGGTGTTTGCAGGCATCAAGAAGGAGAAGGAGCGTGCCGACCTCATTGCCTACATGATGGAGATGAAGTGAGGGATAGGTCCCATGCCGGGCAGCTTGATTTTCACACTAGCTCCGTACAGAGTTCCTGTTTTGGTCGCATGCCACTTTGTCGTGGGCATACAGGTGTCCTGACAGGTTCTAACTCTTGGTTGCGAAAAAGATCGTGTTGTTTCTTACACCACAGGTTGCATAAGTTTGTGCGCGCCTCAGGCTACACTCCCGCCTCTTGCTCAAGCCAACAGCTGGTAGGACCTGGCAGCAATTTGGTCAAAAACCACCACACCTTTGCTGCAATGCCGGTGCCTGAGCCTGACGTCACAGTCCCGGAGGGCGACAGCAAGAAGGGCGCGAAGCTCTTCAAGGCCAAGTGTGCTCAGTGCCACACAATCGAGAAGGGTGGGAATGCCAAGCAAGGCCCACCTCTCTGGGGCCTGCCCGGTCGCACGTCTGGAACCTGTGATGGTTTCGCATACTCGGAGGCAAACAAGAATGCAGCAATCGTTTGGTCGGACAAGCACCTCTTCGAGTATCTCCTGAACCCGAAGAAGTACATTCCCGGAACCAAGATGGTGTTTGCAGGCATCAAGAAGGAGAAGGAGCGTGCCGACCTCATTGCCTACATGATGGAGATGAAGTGAGGGATGGGTCCCATGCCGGGCAGCTTGATTGTAGGATTAAGTTGGGTCAAACGTCCTGTTTTTCCTCGCATGCCACTTCGTCGTGAGCATGCGGGTGTCCTGAACAGGTTCCGGCTCATTGATGAAATGCATCTCGGGGGGAGTGACGGTTGGCGAGATTTGCAATGAGCCCTGACGCGAGTCCTACTCTTGCCCCTTCTGCATGTTTTGCAAGCTGCGGTATTGCTGGCTTCCGGCGGCGTTGGCGTTTGTTGCTCAAGCCAATAGCTGGTAGGACCTGGCAGCAATCTGGTCAAAAACCACCACACCTTCGAGCCAATGCCGGTGCCTGAGCCTGACGTCACAGTCCCGGAGGGCGACAGCAAGAAGGGCGCGAAGCTCTTCAAGGCCAAGTGTGCTCAGTGCCACACAATCGAGAAGGGTGGGAATGCCAAGCAAGGCCCACCTCTCTGGGGCCTGCCCGGTCGCACGTCTGGAACCTGTGATGGTTTCGCATACTCGGAGGCAAACAAGAACGCAGCAATCGTTTGGTCGGACAAGCACCTCTTCGAGTATCTCCTGAACCCGAAGAAGTACATTCCCGGAACCAAGATGGTGTTTGCAGGCATCAAGAAGGAGAAGGAGCGTGCCGACCTCATTGCCTACATGATGGAGATGAAGTGAGGGATGGGCCCATGCCCCATGCCTTATCCAAAGTTTTTCCTTGTGATCACATGCCGTGATGTTGCGACTCCCGACAGGGCTTAGCTGTAACTTAGAAATGTCTGCAGGAGAAGCGCCGCGCTTGGAAACCAGTGTGGTTGTTTCACACAACTGTGAAGGGGCAGTGGCAGTTTTAGCTGTTTCCATCACTTTGTGTCTTTGTGCTGCTCGAGGCTCGTAACTCTCATGGCTCTTAGGCACCGTCCGACAAGTCTTTCCAGGTGTGAACGAGGAGCTAGCCTAGCAGCTGGAGATTCCTGCTAGGGGTCTTTCTTCTCAAGACGGATTAGCCACGGATAGGTTTAGGCCGGCGAACATCGGATCGAGCCATGGAAATTCTGCCGCAAAATGTGAGGCAGCTGGTGCAGAGTCTTGCCTGGGCGATGCGTGAACCTGTGTTGTTTGGTTCGGGAGGACACCTTTCGACAGGGCTGAACACATCCCGCAGCTTGGATGGTCAACGCGGGGTCTTCATGTGTCTTGGCTTCACATAGACTGTGTGAAACTACAACACAAGAAGCTTTCGGCTTGTAATCATGCTGCACTTCGTCAGTGTCTCTGCCATGGCCCTTAGCCTCTGTGTCAGATTCGCCCTCTGTTTGAGCTTCTGCCCTTCACCGAGGTGCTTAAAGGGGGCTTCACGGAAGGCAAGCGAGCGTCGCAAGCGCAGCAAGGAGGCGGCTCCTTGTCGGGTTCCCTGCGCATATTATGCCTAAGAACGTGTCGGAGCCTGGCAGGCTTCGGCCGTGCGTCGGCCTGCCTTGCCGTGGTGAGCTGCGCTGCGGTCCTCGCCTTTGGGATGCTGATGATGTGTCCAAGAAGGTACTGTAAGAACCGACAGACTAACAGGCAGCATGCTGCATCCGATCGCGATTGGCACTGCACCTTTTGGTTAAGGCAAGGGCCAGATGCCGAGTGGCTCGCTTTTCCAGCAGCCTCGCCGCATGTGGCGCATTTGTCTGCTTGTGATGCGAGCAAGCTATGTGGTAGAAGCTTCGGTTTGCTCGCATGAGGTCACGCTTGCAACTTTGCTGGAGGGCGAAGTGAGGGACGTGATTCGAAGAGTCTGTGCCTGAGACCCTCAGGATCTCTGTCTCGTGGCATCTCGTGGCATCTCGTGGTACCTCATGGTATCTCGTCGTATTTCGTGTGTTATCTCGTGGTGTGTCGTGGCTCTGAGGCTCACCGGAGAGGCTGTCAGACCTCGCATGGAGCCCGGCCAGGGTTTGCCTCAAGAGATCATGACTGCCGTGCCGTGTTCCCGGACTGCAGTTTCTGCAGCTTTCACTTCCTGATGCTGTGCTGCTGTCCGGGGTGTTGGCACGAGACCAATCGAAGGTGCAGACCGGGGCTTGTTGCCAGCTGGCAGCGATCGTAAATGACTCTGCAGAGCGCCTGAGACAGGTCCGCATGCTGCCGCCCCCAGCATCTTCCATGCCTCGCTTGGCCATTGTGCCGGTCGTGGAGGGATCCTCAGCTGTGGAGTCTCGTGTCAAAGAGTCACTTGTGGATTTAGCAGAGATGTGCTATCCTCTCTCTGTGCTAGGACAGCAAGGAGGCATCCTGCGTGCCCTTTCATGACCGGGATGAAGAAAGCCTGGAAACCCTCAGGCTTTGGCCGGAAATGCCTTCGTTTTCACGTCTTGGAAGCCGCTTTGCTTGAGGCGCTTCTCACCTGGGCCACTGCAGCCTCTGACGGCTCCTGGCAAAGCCCTGAAGTGGTTCTGGCAGCGGGCACCACAGGCTGGAGAGTAGAAGAAGAAAGGCACAGACCATCAAGCGACTTTGGAACTGCGGCGAGGATTTCGAGTCATTCTGCAAGTATGAGCATGTGCGGGCTGCTTGCGGCGGTCGGAATCCCAGCCGTGACGAGAGTCGATGGGCGGAGTAAGTGTTGTATTCTGCAGAGGAACGCAGTCCTTGGAGGAGCAGGCCTTTTGAGCAAGCGGGCAAGCGGCCAGCCACAGCCCAACATGACAACTTTCTCAGCAGGCGGAGATCCTCCTTTTTAATGTGTATCAGCGCTTCTGCCAGCAGACTAGCGCACCGCCAAGGCGGGTCAGGCCGTGGCACCGGGGGTCCCAGGTGCTGTAGTCTCTGAGAGGCCATCCTCAAGTGATGAGACGGATTACGACTTGTGCGCCTCTCTGCCTTCTCACAGCAGCCTCATCCGCGCGTCATCTCCCAGCAGAGGTACATATCAGTTTTTCAAGATGCTCCAATGAAGGTGCCCTGAGAGCTTCACTTTCAGACCTTCTTCAATTTTTACGATGGGAGGCTGAAAGGATTGTTGGACAATCGCGGAATGGCAGTTGGTCGAGAGCAGGGTCGGGGGAGGGGAGGGGACGGCCACGAGGGGATGGAAAGAGGGGAGAGGGGGTGATCGGGGAGGGCGGGGCAGCTGACCTAAATGCAGGATACTGAAGGCTTGTTTTGCTGCTCGGCTTTGTGACTTCCTGCAAGGATCTTGTTTTCATTCTGGCCTGTTCCGGCAGGCTTTGCATCAGACTTGCAGCGCCGACTTCTGCATGATCGCAGAGGCTCCTTTCCTTACACGCCTTGCTTTGCATGTCGCAGCTCCGCTCCGGTCTGCAGGCGCACGTGCTTGGCTTGGCCAGCGGCACGGCCGGCTTTCCCAGGCCGTGTCCGGTTTTTCGAGCGCACGCAGGAGCGTCAACAAATCGCTCCAGGTTGTCTCAAAAGGATGCCCGGTCGATGTATTCGAGTGCAGCAGCCCGAGTTCTCGATTCTCGTCTCGGAGACGTGGAGCCATCCTGAAGCGCAAGGCCATGCGCTTCGGCTATGCTGTCCGGCAGGCCGAAATCCGATTCCAGGTGGGGTGGGGTTCCGGAATGGGGTTCAGGTCACCCTGGAAGTCACCTTTGCTGGATAGGTCGATGGTGCTGCGGGCACCTTCGTACCACTACCTCTTGAAGCTGAAATGGTACGTGAGGAGTCTCGCCGCCCGTAGCTCGCCTGCGTGGGGGCGAAGTGTTAGGCGTCCCGACTTCAGGAGCTCGAGTACTTGTGGACGAAACCTGCTGTGCAAGGCGTGAAGCGCAACTTGCTGCGGCAGTAGCCAGACAGCATGGCAGCATGGCATCCACGCATGGTCCTGGTCAGGTGAAAGGGGTTCATCAAGTGGAAGCTCGTGTGAGGCACCGGTCTCTCCGTGATTCTCTGTGATGGTTTCTCAATGAAAAACTTCGCACACCTGGTACAGGATCAGCTGAGTAGCTCCCTCGGCTCGGCACAACTCGAAACACTCGCTCTCTCGCTCTCTCTCCTCTGTGGCCAAGGCGATGCAGAAGCGGCGCAGCGGAGCCTCCAAGAGGCAAAGCCGGCAAAGCTCTCACGGGCTCTTGGCTCTGGTCCTCTTCCTCGAGCCTCTTGGGTGTTGCAGGTCTTTGGGCGATTGAAGCGCATCGGCGAGACAAAGCCCGCTCTTGCCACGTGAGCCTCTTTTCGCCGTCGCTGTCGCTTCTGCAATGAAGTTGGAGCTGATGCAGCTGAATTCAAGCAGTTCTGATCCTAAAGGTACCTGGGATGGCTCGGGAAGTTCGACCCAGAGGCATCTCCATGACCCTCTGCGAGAAGCTCCGCGGACGACTTCTCACCTCCTCTGAAGGCCTTGTCCATGCTGTCCAATCCAATGCCGGCCATTGCCATCGCAATGAAGCATCAGGTAGGTGCTTTCTTTGCGCATTGCATTCTGCTTTGGGGGGTTATTGTAGCCGATGTAACTCCCACGGTGTGGAGTGGAAGGCCGATGCCGTCTGGGGGGGTGCAGCGCAGGAGGAGGCTCCGTCCCCGTCCATTTATGGAAGGATCGGTGTTGCTACCCCTTGCACGCTCCTCCGCTCACCTCTTCCAAGAAGGCGAATGATCTTACCGTTACAACAACTCCATCGGATATGCTTGAGGCAGACCTTCACGAAGTGAGGTTTTGCTTCACGCACGTGCTGGCCAGTTCTTGAGGCCATCCTTCTGGGTGCTTGGCTTCATGATTGCGATGCTGACGTTCGCGAAGCGCGCTCGAGGCAGTGACCGATAGCTGCAGTCGGGTGTTCCTTTCCCTAAATGTCCCTGTGCCGTAGGCTACAGGCTCGCGAGGCTCGCGAACAAGGCCGCGCTTTCCTGTGTCAGCGGTTTTTTTGGATGTCAAAGTTTGCTCCGAAGAGGCTCGTAAAGGCCTCTTGGTGAAGGAGAGTCGTGCGGAGTTCGCAGAGGGCTGTTGGCTTGCCGTCAGCAGCCCCTGACCAGACACGGGGTGTTGTCTGGCTTGTACAAAACTGCAAATTAACTCGTTCCAGCAAGCGCCTGCCTGTGCAGCGAGCTTCATTTTCCGTTTGCTTCATGTGGTAATGCTCACATCAAGGCTGTACAGAGTCTGAGTCACCTAGCCCGAATTCGAAGGAGGTTTGGGATGCTCCTTGTTTGATTCCCTAGCCCTGCAAGTCGGGATTGGCCGCGGGACGTCTCCACTACCTGCATCCCAAACCTCTGCAGTGCATCATCGCTGTGGTCATCTTGGGACACATCTAGGAAATCTTCGAACTGAGGTTTGGCTGGGACTACATGGCGACCACGGTAGAAGCAATTGTCTATCACTTCATCTCCAATTCCGCGCGTCGAGAAACAGCTCCGAAAGCCCGAATACTAAACTCTGAGCTCTCTTCGGAGCTTCGTGCCAATCGCGATTTCCTGCTCCACAGCTGACAAGACTAGCCTCGCGATATTCTGCTGACCACAGCAAGGCGAGTTCAGATGCTTCTGGAGCCTAAACCCTATAATCCTGAGCCCTCAATCCTGTCATCTGAATATAACTTGTACTAAACTTTAAACCCTCAAAAACCGTGAACCATGAGCGCTGCAGCAGGGAAGGGCTGAACAAGCGGCGGAACCCTGCCTCGGAAAGACAAGACTGAAGAGGGAGCGGGAGAGAGCGTGAGGGAGAGAGGGAGCGAGAGACAGAGACAGGCGGGGGGTGGGGGCGGGTGAGGTGAGTGTTCTTGCTCCGCTTTGGTGGAGTGGAGGAAGAGACAGTCGAGCTTCCGAGAGAACGTTTTGAGTTAAGGGAAAAGCATAGCAATCGGGAGCACAGACTGTCGGGGATAGTTGAGCAGCATTTTTGGAACATCAGGTTGTTTCCAGCTGAGCTCAGTCCTCAGGGACACAAATGAATGCTTCACAGCGACGGCAGCAAAAACAAGAGAAAGAAACAGGTAGAAACAAATTGGAAAGGATTAGTATAGAGGCCTTACAAATTGCAGTACAATGGGCCGCAGAGCCCTATTCTAATAAGTAAGGCCCCTATACTATGCAGTGCCCTGTCCAGGCACCACGCTTTCGCCTCTTCCCCATGGCCGCTGTTGCTGTGCGACGTCCGCAGGACTTCCCCGAGGCTGGGTGCTTAAGTCCCCATCACCAAGGGTTCCTTTAAAGGGGTCTAGAGGGTCTATAAGGGTTCAGGTTCCTTTAAAGGGGGTCTATAAGGGTTCCTTTAAAAGGGTCTATAAGGTTTACTACAAGGGATCCATAAAGGTACTCTGATATAGGGGCCTAAATAATTGTCTGTCTGTCGTTGTTTGCAGGCAGGCCGTTTAGCCGGCTTGAAATCATGTGTGGCGCTTGGCACTCGCTGCCTGGAGAAGTGTTTTTGGTGCTTCGTCTTGCGTCTCGGACGCCTTGAGGTGCAAGCTCCAGCCTCGGGCGCATGCGCAGGCCCAGACAGGTCGGAGCAGCGGAAGATCCTCGCGTTGGCTTTTTGCCTTTTGCGCCTGCTGTGCTGTTCAGGTTGCACCTGCAGGCTGGACAATGTGTGAATGCGAGGCGGACAAGGCATCTCGAAAGCGAGGTGATGTGGCCGACGTGGCACTTCCATTCCATCCGATTGAGAGGAATGGGTTCTGTGCGATCGCGTTGAAGCGATGGCGGTGACCCGGCTCCAAAGATTAGTATCTCATTAGTTGGCGGTCCTTCGGATGTTTGGTCGATCCTGGAGTTGTGCTAGGTCCGCACTACACATCCAACTAGAAAGGCATCCCATTTTGCTTCCACCACATATCTAGTAACTTCTTGGGACGGAAAGAAACGTGCAAAGAGATGGGCAGTTGCCCCCTTGCCTAGAACTATTCTGAGGCTCTGAAGTTCCACCACCCCGCCACACATACACACAAAGCAAGCTAGGTATATGCACATGGCTAGCTTGCAACGTGGCATCCGGCCGCATCACACCATGGCCCTTACTCACCAAACAAATGCCTGCCCAAACAGTGCAGTTGATCTCACTGCAAGTTGCACGATTGGCATAGTCACTGGCCGTGAGCCGAAGCTAGGATTAAGTGTGACTCTCATGGTTTAGGCACGCACGGGATCAGGGTGAGACAGAGAGTGCAAGTAGTAGTGTGCACTGGATGACGAAGGAGGAGCCGCAGACCTCAAGTGCGCAGTGAGTAGTAAGTAGCGTTGTGACGGTCTACTTTTGTTTATTGGTACCGCTGCGGGGTGTCGGCGTTCACGTTCGACAAGAAGAACACCTGTCGGGCCTCGGAAAACCCTGGTCGCGTTTACATGACGACTTTCGGTGTTGATCGTGCAGGCCGGCACATTGCATGAAGAGAGCGAGAACTGCAAGCCGCGATGTTTTCTGTGTGTGGCAGTGCACTCGGCATTCGAGGCGGAAATGGCTGAGAACTTACAAAAGCACCTCAGAACCCAGAAGGCCTGGGTCAGCGTCACTTCTCCAGTGTAGGTGCGATATGGTGCGATGTTGTTTTGCAGGAGCTGGTGGAGGACACGGATGCAAGCTGCAGCCAGGCAAGTGGATGTCCAGCTATCGAGGCTGTGCAATAGAAGAGCGCAGACAGGGTCCTGCAAACAATGCCGCGCCAGATGTTCCCATGAAGAAGGTTTTGGCCTTGCTTGTACTGTTGTCTTTCACTGTTCCGGTTTGCTCGTGGCAAGGCAACGGGGAGTTGCGCGGAGATGCAATTCGAAGCAGAGGCAATCTTGGATGCTGCGATGCTCCGCGACGGACTGCAGTCTTGGAGCAGGATGCCCAAGATGCCCATGACCCAAACGAAACGCCAGAGAATGCCTCCGAAGAAGAGGCTCTCCAGTAGTGTCTGGTGAGTTGCGACTTGTTTCCTCCTCGGTGATCAGGCCGAGACGCTTCCAACGAAGCGGTCTGACGCAAAAGGGGCGAAGGTCCGACCTCAATCAGAAGTGTAAACCCCCAAAATGAAACCCTAAACCCTAATCCCTGAAATGTGAAGTGCAGGAAGATCCTCGCGCCGACAAGAAGACCCGTGTTCTGAGCCCAGAAAAGCGGGTTCGCATGGTACTGTAGAGGGCCGTGATAATTGGAATAGGGTTTTGGGGTTCCCTTTTACAATGAAAGTATAATATACCCCCAAACCCTTTTCTACCTACATCAGCTGGTACATGTACGCAGGTCTGTCACTCTGGTGGCCCAGGGGCTCATCTGACACTACTGGTGCGTGCACTGTTGCAGTCTTTGCCATGTCAAGCGCTTTCTGAAGCGAGCTGTGCAGGATGCGTTAATTATGCGATTTTGGTTTTGGACCTCTCAGACCGAACTGGTCTTGCATAGATCACGGGCCCCGACCCCTGCACCCAGCTTCGCAAAGTAGCAGCCCGCCGGCGCTGTTGGGCAGTGAGGAACCTCAGCAAGACGTTTAGAACGGTCTACTAAACGGTCTACAAGGTTCTTTAAGAGAGCCCACCTTCCCATCCGGAGATTTCTCGGCGTCTCGCTTTAGCTCCAAGGCTGAGAGGAAGGCTGCCTGGAGAGCGGCCCAAAAGGCTTTGGAGGCGTTCTCATTGACGGGTCCTCGCACAGAAAAGCATCCTTTTTGCATGCCTTTCTGGTGGTGCAGGGTCAGGGCGATGATGGGCAAGAGAAGGGCAAGGCCAGATCCTTTCGTGTCCGGTGCTCCTATGATTCCGCACGCGGCGCCCAGGAGGTGGAGGAAAACCTGCATGGCAAAGCGTGCGCGTGCCAGATTCATGTCTCATTCCGCTCCGGCCGTTCGCTGTGATTTCTCTCGAAGCAGGCGTGGTAAGGCACGGCGAAGCCGCAGGGACCAGTAAGAGCACATGGTGGGTGGCCCAAGTTTGCAGCTTCTCAACCATCGCTCTGCAATGCCATGCTGGCAGGAAGTCAAATTCCGACGTACATGAAAGGGTCGGTTGGTATTGCTTGGACGTGAAATTAAACTCGGAAGCGGTCTAAGTCCTGTGCCACTTGGGTGCCCATTCTGCTGGAAACTCGTTGCATACGGTTGCAGGAGTCTTCGGTCTCGGAGTGTTCGTCGCAGTTTGTTGGTGGAGACACGGACAGCTTGGCGCACTGGCGGCGCATAAACTAAGCGCAGACAGAGCAGGATGTCCCTTCCAGTAACCCTGACGTCACTCGTCCGTCTCAATGAGATTAGATAAGCGGTTTCAGTGTTGCCTTCTGCGGCAGAAATGTGCCGGCTTCACAAGACGGACGATGACAGCTCGAAAAGATGGCAGCCAGCCTAGCACTCCAACAAGCCAGCCGATGAATCGCTTAAACAGAATCCGAAGACACTGCTGCTGCTCGGTTGGGAAGGCACGGAAAGAAAGATTCTCAGAAAAAGCCTGCGGGCTAAAACACTAAGGGTCCCTGGGACAGAAAGAAGCCTTGTCCACGCAGAAGGGAACCGAACCGTCCTTGCTAGGACTGCTGGGAATGCTCCCCGAAGCCCTCAGCCTTAAACCCTGCCTATCCCTGCCTTCTTTGGCTCCCCCATTTGCGTGCGCGGAGGTCTTGTCACTGGGTGCTGCCCCGAGCCTCGCCTGTGAGGGCATATCATCTTCCGACTTTTAAAATTGTTTTTGTTGCGGGGTTACCCGCGGGACTGTGCTGACTTGGATACGAACCTAAAACAGGGCCGAAGTTTATGGCTCAGAACTTTTTATCCGTGTCAGCACCAATCAGTGGGTTGGATCTGCAGGGTGCTCCGGCCAGCAGTTGCATGCCTACTCTCTTGTGTCACAGCTGTCGTTGAAGTGTGCAAGGCCGAGAGGTGCCCAGCAGTGTGAATAGTACAGTGCATGCGAAGAGCTGGGCTTTGGACTATGAGACGAAGACTGCCCGCATGTCGTATGGTGGCGCCCTTAAGGGGGGGCCTCTTTTGCCGTGCTAAGTTCTTACTGACTGCGCAGCGACGCAAGGTCTACATTAGGATGCTGAGAGTCGCGACCCCAGAATCGAATGCGTCATGTTGCGCAGACAGCGTCCGCTTCGCGGACCTTGTGAACAAGCGTCGGACGAGAGTTGGCATGCCGAGGTCAAAGAGGCCGCTGAGGTTTCGTGCTCAGACAAACCTGCCGCCTGCCTGTCTCATGCCACCTGCGGCGTCGCAACGTCAAGTGCAAAGGCCGGACTTTTCGCCGCCTATGCACGTGCAAGCAAGGACTGCAGAGAGCTGAGGCCAAGGATCAATGACAGCATCTCGCAACCGTGTGTGAGCTGCTGCACAAACTTTGTCATGATTTTGCAGCTCAGCCGAGGCTTAAGCAGCATGCTATAAATCTTCGCGGATCTTCGTGGACCAGGAAAGACTGGGCCCTGTGCAGATAAAAAGCAACGCTGAGTGGAGGTGATCTGCCCGTGTTTGCTTGCGGCTCATCGGTCTTCAGAGTCGCGATGTGTGACGAAGCTCGGGGTTCTGCTCAGTTACTTGTGATTTCCGCAGCTAGCACAAGATTATCCTGCTTGTTCCTAGAGCTGCCTTTGGATTTCGACCACGTAATGGCTGATGCCCGGCACCTACAGATCCCATCTGGTTGATACGTTTGTCTACTTTCCAAGATTACAAGTATCCGCATGAACATGAAGTAGACTGCTGCAGAGGAACAGGGCACCGTCACGAGAGCAAGGTGGTCATGTTCCTTTTGCTGTTCGTTTCGATCTGTACAGAAGGTTGCTGTGTGCACTGCCAAGTTTGCTGCCGCATCTCACCCTGATGACAATGGCTCCAGCTTGTGGCGCGCTAGGCGTTTGTAGAATGTATTATAACTCTCTAATATACGAGGTGTAAGAACAATGCAAACCGGACGTCCAGGCCAAGAGGGCCCTAGCAAGTTGTGCACAAGATCGATTTCGGGCGTGTGGGATCCGGTCAGCTGCTTCGCCTGGGGGTGGAGCACATGGCCCCTCGGCTTCCGAAGACTTCGGCTTGTGACGTTTCGACCGACTTGAAACTCTGAGGCGGACTTTTTCTGGATGGACTCGGGCAGCTCCCATTTAGGCATCCGCACGAATGAAGGGGTGTCTGTCCGAAGCAGCCCAAGCGCAGGCATCCCTGGACAGTTGAGGCAGGTCGTTTTAAGCCCCAGAACAGGTTTGATTATGCGTGCTTTGCGTGGTCTCTTTGGGGTCCCGCAGGATGCCAGCTGCGTTGACCCATGTGCACACGCCGCAGAAGATTTCCTATGCCCAGGCACATTGCCGTACCACCGCACTCACTGCAACTCCTCTGCAACTCTGCTGTGAGTAGATGGCGCCTGGCCTGGAGGCTTTTCGCTTCGAGCGGGAGGAGGAGCCTTGCCTCGTGACTCCACCGAAAGGCGCGGAATCCTTCACCGGCCGAAACGTCGGAGACGGAGCCGCATGCTTCAATGCGCTTCAGGCGCTGTTTCTCCTAGTTTTCGCCAGCCAGAATGGCGACAGCATCAGGCTCCATTGAAGGCGCTTTCTCCTTGGTTTTCTCCTCTCACGTCCACTGCGACCGTGGCCGTGAGGATGAGACGAGGCCTGGCTTGAGTGCCGGCGACGCCGTGAGCACAACGAAGAGCCGACTTTTGTATGAACCCCCGGGAAGTCTCACACCATGGTCAGCGCCAAGCGACGAACGTCATTCTTGGGAGGCAGTGCGCAGCTCCAATGGGAAGGCTTCCTTTGCCGTCACGTGGCGCTTTCTAGACACAGCCCTGTGTGATTTGTATGGCTGTCCTACCGGCCGAAGCGTTTGTGCAGGCAGAGCAAAGCGGCCACGTGCGATCAAGTGGAGGAGACTTCAGGGGGGTTCGTGGCTTTGGCCTGCACTCTCATCTGTCCCACTTCGCCGAGCTGGATCTATGAAGGAGACTCTGCGGGACGTTCGAGTTCTGTCATCAGGTGGCGATACCACTGGTTGGTCCTGGCAGGACATTCGCACAGCTCTGCAGGTGTTGTCTGAAGATTATTCTCCGCAGGAGCTGCCAGAGCAAGTGCGGAATGCTTTGCGGTTCTTGCGGACGCTGCCAGCCCTGCCGCACAGCGTTGGAACCAGGTCTCACTGCAAGGCATGCTGGAGCGCTGAAGCTTGAAGCCTTTTGTTCCGCCAGGCCTTTTCTCCCTGCTACTTGGCCTCTGGAAGCCAAGCCGACCCTGGTTTTGGACCTGGATGAAACTCTCGCCCTGCCCGCAGCGCCTGTAGGGGGTATCAGGATCACCGGAACTTCCGAGTCCCTTTTCCCAGCGGCCCGAGGTGCATTGCTGTCGAGGATCGTCTCCTGTTGACATCATCCGACCACCTGACTTGCAGGTGGAGGCTGCAGTCTTTCGCAATCTTTCGCAGATGCCCTCACGAACATGATGTGATTTTGCTTGTCGGCTGCCTGTTCAGTTCGATGACGCCGTTGGCTCTGGGCGCGTTTATTATCGCCCGTTCGCGCAAATCTTTCTGGAGGTTGGTGCCGGCCAGAGCTTAAACTGCTAAAGTTTACTGCTAAGGCTTAACAGATTTGGAAGTAGACGGTCGCCGCGACAGGTGCATTCCACGAGACTGAGACATGACTGGCAGGTGATCTCCAGAACGTTCGAAGTTGTGATCTTCACGGCTTCGCAGCAATCTTATGCTGACCAGGCGGAGTGCACAACCTGACTGAGGCGTAGAGGTATACAGTTTGCAAGCGAGTCACTGCGATGGCACCGTGCAATCCATTTGCATGCAGATTTGCGACTCTACAGGTGATAGATGCCTTGGACCCAAAACGTGCCTTTGTTGCTCATCGGCTATACCGCCAACATTGTACGGACTGCTGCATTCTTGACGATGGTTGCTCAGATCCTGTTGGAAAATGATAGCAGTTGCTCCTGGCAGAAGCACCCGCAGGAGTTTCACGGTGCCTACTTTAAGGAGCTTGGTCTTCTTGGTAGATCCTTGTCCAAGGCTGAAGTGTGGGATGCCCCCGCCCCTGGCCAGTGCGCACAACTAGTGCCCGCTCCTGCCAGTGCGTGCTGATCGACAACTCCCCTGTCTCCGTCGCCTGCAACGCCGAGAACAGCGCCGGAGCCTCGGAGAGACCGCCGCTCCGGCTTGCGGATCCGAGAAGCCTTCGTAGAGAGTCGTTGGTGGTGCCTTCAAAATCAAGTCTGAGGTCCTGATTCGCAGTTGGTACGGCGACTTGGCGGACCAGGACGGGAGGAGAAAAAGAGGTTAAACGAGGAAGTGTTGTATTTCCCCCCCCTGTGGGTTTTGCCACGGGAAGTATTGATCTCTTCCGAGTGTGGGTCGTCGCACAGTCCTCTGGCAGGAGCTGCTTGCCCTTCGCGAAGTGCTGGAGGTTTTCGTGGGGATTTAGGCATCTCATTTCACCGAGTCCTTTGCCATGGCCCCGTGCTGCCAGGACATGCGACACTCATCCACTCGAGGATCGAAGCTTCACCACGACACAAAACTCTGCTGTGCGTGTCTTTGGACAACCTTAGAGTCAATCTTCCGTGCTTTCCAGGCATCGGATTTGACAGGCGCCGTGCTTAGATGCATGTTTGAATGTTACGCAGTCGCCGCACCTTACAGCACAACGGAGAGCTTTGTCTGAAGGTACTTGTCACGACCCCAGAACCTTCACGACTTCCTGCAGGCAGAGAGCAGCGCTCCGTCGTGTTTTCGCACCTTGCGTCAGAGTTGAAGGTGCCCTTGGCGGTTCTCCTTCACGACTGCTTAGAACGGCCTGGCCAAGCTCAAACCGGCGCTGGCCAAGGTGCTTGGACAGCTATCTTCTGCTCTCATGGACGGCACTCTGCACCCTACAAAAACGAAAGCCTACAGACAACTTACAGCCCACGCACATCTCTAAACCCGAGCAACAATCCCTCCCCCCCGACAAGCCCATCAATGCTGCAACACCGCAAACCCGTAAAGCACCCTGCGGTCCCAACCACGCCAAAACACAGAGCCGCAAATCACGCGCAGCCGTCGAATTGTGAATCATAGAACTACTCTACACTGTGAAGGCTTGCAGCCCTGAGCAGGTTTCCAACGCTGGAAAATCGTATTACAAAACGCCTTAAACCCCAGCCTTAGAACAGAATCTCAACCTTTGCAGTCCCCCAAAACCAAGACGTGTCGCAAAGAAAGCCAACAGATCTCGAGCAGCAAGTCATGCCCAACAAGCACTGGAAAAAAACACATGTGCTCGTGATTGCCAAGATGTTGTACACCCTGCAAGGTCAGGGGTGTCGCCCCCGCTGAGGCGAGCCCAGGGGGTTACATGAACTGAAAGGCTGCTTTGAAGGAGCGTACTGCGCATCCTCAAATTAGTTTTTTAGTGTGAAATCTCAGATAAAGCTTCTGAGAATCTATGGCAGCAGTCATGTGCTGCATGATACTCTAGTCGCGGGACAGGGCTCGGCTGTGAAATCGCAGCCTGTACAACGCAACAATGGGTGTGTTGCGAAACACTCTATTCGCACCTGATCGCTTGTCGCATGTTGTACATGGCTCCGTAAGCACTTTGGCACCCTTGGAAACCCATTTGAATCCAAAGTTAGTTTCCCAATTTGGTGTTTTGTCCCAAATTGCATTCCAACGGCAGCAGAGGGGGTTTAGGGTTTATGGTCGGAGTCTAAAGGGGAATGTGGATGTGCAAGGGTAGGAGCGGCTACAAGCAGCGAGGCTGCGGAAGGGGGGGGGGGTAGGGATAAGTCAGCCGCCTGCATGGTCATCTTCGGGATCTTCATAGATTCATAGATTCATAGATCATGGACGTCTGAGAGCCCATGTCTCTACTGATGTTATAGCCGACGGCTCAAGCTCAGTCCCGAGTGTCTGAGGCTCCGAAGCCGCAGGCGAGCGCAGGTTTAACTGGTGATATGTCCCTTTGCCCTTTGTGCTCCGAGGATGGGTCAGACTGCCTGTGCGGAATCCATCTGCCAGCCAACGGTCCCATCCTGAAGACTGCGTGCTCCCATTTGTCTGACCTGTTCTCTGACTCGATGGTCTGACTACAAGGCGAAAGTCAGCACGGAATCGGAAATCACCTACTGCAACAACGACCGTGAAACCAAGCCAGTCGACAAGGCGACTTCGGCAACATATTAATGTGTGTGTAATATATATATATATATCTATATCTATATATCTATATATCTATATATCTATATATCTATATATCTATATATCTATATATCTATATATCTATATATCTATATATCTATATATCTATATATCTATATATATATATATATATATATATATATATATATTTGTATATATATATATATATATATATGAGATATATGCATGTAGACAAGACTTGGCTCTGGACAGGTCGGACAGGTTCCACTTCCAAGGCTGCTGGGAGCAAAAGAGGACTCGGGCAAAGTGAGCGCGTGTGCCCCAGAGTCTCACCCATATCTGGCTCAGCTGCCACATTGAAGCTGCAGATCGTCTAAGGGTGATAAGTCGTCGCCACTGAAGGAGGATTGGAGGGTGTGCCGAAGGGCTGTGGAACTGTGGAATGCAAGCGTCTTGAGATAGGACGAGGAAGCTCTTGGAGGTGTTGATCTGGAAGGAGACGCCGAAGCCATGTTCCCAGTTCTCATTCAGTCTTACGTGCCAGTGCTGCTTGATGCTACTTGTGCGACGCACGTGGTGTAACGGCAGCAGCAGCGCAGCACCAAGGCAGCGTCAAGTATCAGGGTGGAGTTTCCAAGCGCTGAAGAGCTTTTAGATGCAGGCCGGGCTGCGACATTCGCAACACGAGAGCTCAGAGAGGGTGCTCTGTGACCAGGCCGCCACAACAGCAGCAAGGAGAGCAAGGCTCGAAAGTTTCCGGGTGGCGACAGGCGACGGCGCACTGCACCCTGTGTCGCCGCCAGGCCCAAAGAAAGCTGGAGAGGCCTCCTAAACCCTAAACCCCTTTAAACCCCTAAACCCCTAAACCCCTAGACCCCTTTAAACCCCTAAACCCCTAGACCCCCTGAGCCCCTAAACCCTGCCGATGTGTGTGGCGCGCAGTCGAAATCGTAGAGACCTGGCAGGGCCGAAGCCCGAAAGCAAGTGCTTCCGTTTCTGCTGTACACCTGCCATGATTACAGGTTAGGGTCTAGCGTCTAGCGTTTAGGGGTTTAGGGGTTTAGGGGTTTAGGGGTGTAGGGTTTAGGGTTTAGGGATTACAGATTGAAAAAGATTTCTCATGACTGTCGTCCTGGGAGTTTTATCGTCGGTTTCTCCTTGCTTCTCGGATGCTACGTAAGCAACGCAAGGCAGAACGGCTTCCACACCGTGAAGTCAAAGAGGACGTTCTTCTGGAGGCCGCAGTGATAGCGGCCAGCCGGGACGTGCCTCCTTGCAGCAGCGTGCAGGTCATGGTATCCTCTGCACACTGCTGTGAAACACAACGACCTGGAAACGGTGCGGCTTTTGATCACAGCAGGCCGCACTTCTGCGCTGCTCTTGCTGTCGGGAGGGTGCTGCTTGTCCTTGAGGTGCGGACCCGCAGAAGCTGAACTCCAGGGGTGAGACGCCGCTTTGGTTAAAATCTCCGCATGTAGGATGCGTCTTGCTTGGCCAGACAGTGTCCATGGCCCCATGGCTATTCGTTTGAAAGAGGATGCTTGCTTGCGTATGTGCCATATCGGGACCCGGCGTCTGAGGCCTGAGCAGCTGGCTGAGCGCCAAGGGCTCGGAGAGCGTAGCATCATCCGATGAACTACCCTCGATTCCGGATCCTGAGTATTGGCGAGGCCTGAACCGATCGGGTTCCCATGTTGACATCATTGATGCCTTGCATCACGCGAAGGCATCTGAATCTGGCGCTTTCCAGCTCATTCGTATGGTCCTGCGGCCAGGGGAAGCGCAAGAAGTCATCCAAGCACCCACCTGATGCAGAGTCCTCGATGAAGGCCGGAGCCCTTTCAGAGCAGCCGTGAGCATGACAAGTCCGTGCCTCTCTCTCTCTGCAGACGAGTCCTGCCACTCAGGGCAAGGCCAGCATGGCCAGCACAGCATCGTCACTGGAGATTACACCCCGAGGCAGCCAACGGATGTTGCAGAGAGGGAGACGGAGCGGACCGTTGAAGCAGATTTCAATGGACATTGTTAAGACAGAGGAAAGTAAGATGTGCAATACAATGTAGACGAAGACGAGGATGCAGGCGCGGGAGAGAGACACCGAGCGTCGGCTGAAGTAACGCACCTTTGGCTGCTCCCCCCACTGGAAACGCGTGGGTGTTGTCTTAGCCTTGGATGGCGAATCAGTTCGACCAGCATGTATCAGGGGGACCAAAGGCCGTGGAAGAGGCGACTACTGGACCGGTCGAAACACTGCATCGAGAAGTTTGTCGCAGTCGCGAAAGGAGAGAGCTGAGAGGCAGCCACCCAGAGAGACATCGAGAGCGACGGAGCAAGGGAGCAGAGGCTCGAGTATGCGTAGACCGAGGCACTGCCCGAGTAACCCTTCCCTGACTCGCTGCAAAGAGGCAAGCAACAAGCAAGCATGCAAAAGAGTCTTGGGATCGCACAGCTGTGGTTGTAGAGAGTTGGTTACTGGTGTGGGCTTGGTTCTCGAACTGTTGGACGGGCTAAGTCTGAGTGGAGGAGCATCTCGATCTCGAGCATTGCCTGCTTGACCCTCGAGCTTATCCACTTCCTGACTAACAATAAGTATAACATCTGAGGCGGACGATGAACCCAAGACCTGCAGGCGCCCGGCGCACACAGCGTTGGCCCTTAATCGGGTGACTAAGACTAGAAGAGATCGAGGTCCTGAAAGTCTGGGAGAGGAAGCGAGGCAGACCCGCCTGAAAGAGCTCCGAAACGCTAGAAGAAGAGGCTGTTTTTCAAGTGCAAGTGTCGGGCACTTTTCTTGTTTCAACATGGCAGTACCTCAACATGCTGTGCGAACGCAGCTAGTTCTGCGGAGTTGCTTCGAATGCTGCTCTCGTCAGGTGTGTGAAACGAGCCGAAGACTTGCAAAGCCAAGGTGGTAATTCAGATGAGTCTTCCCGCTTTTCAGTAGCACTGCAGGACGTGAAAGATCCCGTTTCGTATGAGCTTTGTGTATTTCTGCTCGAGTTTCTCTCAACATTGCATGCAGAACTCGCCGTACTTTCGCGGTGTTCACTTGTCCGTTTGCTGGCCATCCACAGCCATGGCCAGTTTGGACGCACGGCACATGCACCGCCTTCCAACCGCGAAGGGTCAAAGGCTAGCGAATGCACCGATTCACCTGCTCAGGTCGTCGCGTCGCCGACCGCGACCTTGGCATTTGCACAGCACAAGTGTCTGTCCACATACACTTTCGGCTCAGTCAGCCTTGCCACCGACAGAGATGAGGGCACTGGTGGCAAGTGTCAGATACAGACAGGTGCGGCAGCAGCTAGCAGGCAGTGACGAAGCAGTCAAGTAGTTTTTTATCAGCAACAGAGCATCAGAATGACGTATCCAGCTTTACCGCCCAGGGGCACAGCTTGATGCGTGCATCTGTGTAAAGCTTAAATGGGGATCGTGGATGCGATAGGTTGCGCTGCTGGACGCTTGGTGGTCAGTTGAACCATGCATGAGATCGGCGGTCCGGCGCATCCCTAACTTCCACGCTGAGGAGCCTCATGCCGCTGTATGCCATCAATGCCAGCAGAGGCAAGGATGGTCCCAGGGCGAGCTGAAACGCGCCAAATCTGCGACACATCGCCAGGTGTTCGCTTTCATGGAGTGCCTCCACGTGGTGCACAGATCTGCCGTCTCCCCGCCAGGTACAGCCACGAGGCCCTAGTCTGATGCAACAAGATTTCTTTTGGGAAGGCTTAATTGCAGTAAAACCAAGCAGAGCAGGCGAGTGACGAAGACGAGGAGCTTGACTGTGGATGGCTTACTCGCCTTGCTGCTACCATGCTGCAAAGCCGAACTGCTGAGGGCCGGCTCAGTCAGAAGCATCAGATTCATCACAGAGGCCAGGCAAGTCCTTTTACTGAAACAGATTCTGTGGCATTACCTCCGTTTGGCACACATGGGTCTTTCTTCAGCTGACCTGCAGTGTGAACGATTTCGTCTTGAACCCGCCGGACGGCATGTCAGAGGCAAGTGGGCAGTGTACAGCTTAGTCCCACTTAGCTACATAATAGAGCTGAAGCCCTGCATCGAAGGTTGATTCGGGTTCTGCTGCAAGCCCTACTGTCAGGCTGCATGCTTACTCAGGGGTCGAAAGCTTTACTGAAGCAGCTGCCCTGACCAGTCGGCACAGCTCCACGTACGAGCTGCCGAGATTCGGTCGATGCCTTTGGTTGCGAATGCAGAGCGGCATCTCTCTCTCTCTCTCTCTCTCTCTCTCTCTCTCCCTTGTGTCATTATGTGTGTGCGAGAGGACTTGCAGACTCCGACCTTTCCGAGACCGACTTTCTTGGTGTCGGCGAGGCAGGGGCGAATGGCAGCTTGCCGTGGAGCCCTTCACCAGTTCGCTAGGAGACGGATGACAGCCACGACTCCGAGTCTGATCTCTCGAATGTCCACGAGGTTGATCTTGAGGCATCCGGCACATCCGATCCGGTCCTGTGCTGCGGATACAAGAAGGCAGAAACTCTAGGCCATGGCACCGAGCAGTTAGGGCGCTCAGGTGCCAGAAAGTTGATCTTTCGATCTTTCCAGTAGCTCAGCGATCCCTGGGTTTCAGGATGACGAGGAGATCCAGGAAATACCAAATCCTCCACAGCTGCCCTCGGTGGCAGAGGAGTGCTCGCCACGACTTCGACTGGGAGTGGCATTTCCATGCTCCAGCCCTAATCCCTAAACCTTCAACGCTGAACGTTAGGCCCTAAACCCTAAACGCTAAGCCCTAAACACAAGCCTACATTCAAAGAATAACCCAAGCCCACAAACACAGTTTGAGTAAGAAGTCCGCTTCCCAGGAGCGCTTGCAGGAAGTCTGGCCGTTGGGTGAAGCCACGTTTGGCATCTTCATCTGACCGGAGCTCAGAATGCGGAGTATGACGTTCGCAACTTCTGGGAGTGTGTGAGAAGCCTATCCACTTCGTTTGAGAGTGTTCAGTGACTGCACACCGGCACTGCAGACACTGATCTTCTCAGCGCAGGGACACATCCAGCTTTGAACCACCTTCAGCATCTATGGTCAGTGCTGGCTAAGGTCCCATCACTCACGATGTGATGACGGATCCGGTTGTCCCATCCTGAGTTGTGCTAGTGAGGCACCGGAATGAGCGGTATAGTCTTTGTGTTGTCCTCATGCGGAAATTGTCTTTGAAGTCTTCATCTTTGAAGGTCTGTGCCGATGGGTACACCTACGAGCGCACAGCGATTAGCAGATGGTTCGAGACGTGCCGCGCCCGATCGTGCCTTGTGTGCCAGTGTTTTCACTTGGGTGCAGGTCACGGAAGAGCCCTGTTACTGGTCAGAGTCTGCCCCACGTTGAAATGGTAAGGGGCTGAGATCACTGTCCCTGGCATTGCCTCGGTGCTTGGTCCAGACTTGGCAGGTGCCAAACCAGTCTGTCAGAACCCTGCTCAAGACTCTCATTGACATGAGCGACAAGCCTCAGGCATGAATCATTGGGTGTTCTTGCCTGGCATTGCCTTGGAGCACCCTGTATTTTCTGCAAGGCATCTTCCAGCCGCAGAGGTTCGGTGGAATCACCAGAGAAATCCAACGAAGAGACGCGGGCAGCGGAGAAAGACAGCAAGCAGCCAAAGACAGCAGACCTGCAAGCACGGCTGCAGATGATATCTATGTCATCGGGACAGATGACTCGAGACAACTCGGGAGACGAGAAACCTTGCTTATGCCGCCGACCATCCTCATCGGTCGATACAGAGACGGACTTGGTGCGCGGGTCCTCTTCCGTTGCGGGCTCATGCTGTTTCAGAGTTGCTGCAGTCATGTATCTTTCTGAAACCATGTCCAAGCGAAGCTGCACTGCCAAGAGCAGCTCTTCATCATCCTCGTCGGGTCAGCAGAGCCGCGCAGCCGGCACCAGTCGTCCACCTTGTGTGCCAAAGCCAAAGCCTTCGCTGATCTTCCCATCTCTGCTGGCACCTCTCCAGGCGAGCGCCGTCACGGCGGTTCGGAGTCCAGGCATTTTGCAGCTGTGTTGCCTGAATCTAGGCTCCGTCTCTTCGAGCATCCAGCGACTTTCGCAGGATATCCGCATTGACAACATGAGCCACCGGACATTGCAGAATCCAACGGCACGCCTGACCTGGGATGCCGTGGCGTAGGGCTCCGATTCCAACTGCAGGAGTGGATGCAATCGCAATGGTGCTTGCAACAGCTGTAGACTGCCGGTTTGTGTAGCATTTCTTTCTCAGCAGACAGTGCTGGTGCATGTGATGTCTTGCCAGAATGGCTGAGACAATTCATCATAGGTCCTATCCGTCTATTCCGTTTAGGAAGCTTACTTGCTCCTGCCGAGATCGCCAATCAGTCTGCGATGACGAAAGGAGTTGCAATTGAATTCGTATTGGACAATGCGGCTGATAAAACCAATGCTGCCAAGCCGTCCGGTGCATGCTGAGTCTATGAACGCGATGGTGCTTGTGCTTGGAGACAGACCTCTGCACTGTTGCCTTCTTCAGAGCAGCTGAATGTCACAGACCGACACCACATGCCATGCCAGTGCAGAGAGAGTTGCAGAAAAACCGAAGTGGAGCCTAAGAACAAGACGGGCGTTTTCTCTCGAATCGAAGACCGGAAGCCGGCCGGTCAAGGCGCGCAAGAGCCTGCCTTGAGAGGCTGCGTAACGCATGGGCACCGCATCCCGGCAGGCTTGGCTTGCGTCATGGCCGAAAGCTCCAAGGAAGAGCTTACACCGCAGCAGGTAACACTTTGAAGTACTTAGTTTCCCTTTCTCAGAAAAGTCTGACATGACAAGGTGCAGGCAACGTACCAGCAGATAGAGAAGGAATGCTCTGTCATGATCAACAAGGCATTCGGCCCAGCGCAGATCAGCAGTTTCGGGCTTGTCAGCGCATTCGACTGCAGATCGCGGAGCTCGAGCAAGAGCTCAACGAGCACGCTTTGGTGATCAAGGTGGGGAGAGGGATGCTTTAAAACCTCATGTTTGAGATTTGAATCTCTGCAGTGGCTGGTGCGGAGGCTTTTGACAAAGTAGACTCCACCAGAAGATGCTTTCGTATGGCTTGCCTCTCGAGACTCGAAATGATGCTTTGCGTCGTGTGCCGAGCAATGCGAACACATCAGGTCGGTGGTGTTCTGGTAGAGCGCACGGTCGCAGAGGCACCCAGCCAGCCGGACCGTCGTGCTGCTTGTGCTTGGTTTCGAGCGGGAGTTTCCGAAAATAGGGGACTCTAATATAGTACCCTCCTAATAGCAGGATCCTTGTTAGTTAGAGGGACCCCAAAACAAGGTACCCCGAATTTTCGGAAACTGCAGCAGGTCAGACCAGCCGTCGAGTCCAACTTGGAGAAGATACAGCAGGCATTGCGGCATTGCCAGCCACGGGTGCTCCTCTTCGAGACTTCGTGTTTCACAGGCCGTGAACCAGCTCCAGGAACAGCTGAAGAAGAAAACTGAGCAAAGGATCAACTGCTGGAACTCGCGATGATGCCGCTAGCATCCGCCGATGGGTGTGGCTGGCAGGACCCAATTCATTCAGAAGTACAACCTGAATCAGCAGAAACAGGCTTTCCGAGTGCAGCTCGCAGACCTCTTTCAAGCGTAAATCAAATCATCGCTGCGTTGGAGCAGTGCAGGCCTCTCCTGCTCCGGCACCCGAAGCTGATGCAGCCAGCAAGGGTGGGGGGAGTGTTCTCGTTTGATGGTCGCCACAGTGCGAAGCCTGTACCTAGTCCTGTCCAAAGCGTCAGTCCGTGGATGATTGCGCTACGCTGTTACCCGAACAATCTGTGCTAACACCATGTCATTCTGCAATATATGGGTACATGTCTGGTTGCTAGCACAATTGAGCTGAGTGCCTGACATTCAGATATAATCACGCTTTTGTACAAATTCGTGCCCGGTTGTATGCCGATACGAAAAGAGCCCGAAGATATGCTGCTCACGGAGTTTGCCGCAAGTCGCAAGGACCTACTTCAGATCAGAGCCTCAAGCCGTTTTAACCTAAGCCGAAGATAGGTGTGAAAATAGGAATTGCTTGCTGAGCCATCGAGGCACCCGAAATCATTGGAACTCGATAATCTTGCCACGTGGCATCCACGATATCTGTTAGAGATCCTTTCCAGGCAACGCTTGACTTGTTTGACAGCACATTTAGCACTTGAAGCTGTAGATGTCGTTTATGGACCTCCAGTGGCTTGTGTTCTTCCCTGGCCGGCCTAGCCGTGACGACTGGCGTCGTGTTGATGCCTCTGCGCGAATTGCACGTGCAGCTCTTCAACGCGGCAGCATTTGCCATATCATCTTCGAAGACAGAATAAGTATCAGCTTGAGCCCGGCCTTCTTGGGCGAGGGCAGAGCATGGGATGGCCACGAAGCGAGCTACCAGCGCTTACTGAAAGACATTGCCAATGGAGAAAGAGTTCCAGATGCAAGCTTCAAGCCAAAAAGTCATCTGGCAGAATTCCTTCGGGAAATGCTACGACCCGTGGATGTTGCCTTGGATTTCCGTGAAAACGGTGCCTTGGTGATGGGCCTTTATCAAGAGGGCTCCATCCGTCCCCGAAGTGCCTTGTGCGTCATCGGGGGTGTCAAGGACCTTCACGAGGAAGAGACGAAGGTCTTGACTCAGGTCTGCAAGGATCTGAAGAAGACCAGGCTTTGTGTTAGCCTCGGGTCACAAGCTGAGCTGACGTCGAAGTGCATGAAGGCAGGTGTGCTCTTGAGCGGAAGTCGTTTAGGATTCCTCATTGGAGCTTTAGTCTCTTGAGCAGTGCGAAAGTGTCAGTGAAGCTTGCAACCAGGCGGTCGGGGAGTTGAACAGGCACACGGCCTTCTCCAATGCTGTCTCTCATTGCTTATCATCCCAGCTTCCGGCCCAGCTAAACCAGAATCGGGTTGATCGACCCCGCTTGCATCTCATCGCTCCATGGCGGCAGTTCTGGAAGGGTTTGTTGGAACCGCAATGTGTGTGTGTGTGTGTGTGTGTGAGCCCGCGGGGTTAGAGCAGCACGAGATCACGCCTTCTGCCAACAACTTGGCCAGATAACCGAGGGTCACCACTTCCCAGTCTTTGGGTAAATGCAGGTGCTAAAGGTCCCCGGTCGGTTGGTTGCTGCACTAGCTCCCTAAGAGTGGAGGGACTGAGACCGACGTTCTCCAATCGTACGGCGAGTCCTTCGTCCCAATGCCTTGTGGCAGCACTCGTACCGTGTCAGTGAGGTGATGCTCCCACCAGCGACAGCACTCCTCCAGTTTTTCGAGCAGCGGGGGACTGCGACCATGGTCGTGGATGCGTTTGTGAACAGCCACGGTGGCTTGGCTAGCATTGGATTGACCCTAAGGCTTGCAGACAGATGAAGGCTGGACCCCGGCTTCAGAAGTGTTTCAGATCACATAAACTCATGCCTTAAGAACAGGTGCCTGGGTTCGATACAGACTTGCACAAGTGCAGCCATGACATGCACACTAAATGACCGGCGGGATGACCAGGATGTCTTGTTACTCCAAACTCTTTCCCATCGGAGAAATCCGTCGTCCAAGGTGTGTTCAGGAACACATGGACACTCAGCTGCAAGTGATCTTAGACGTGTTGCAGGTGGTGCTAGTGTCTGGAAGCACGCGACCAGCTCCGCTGCCGTTGTTTGGTTGCCACCTTCCCGACTCACATCCAAGGCTGAGCTTCCTAACGGACAGAGGCCGAGTTTCGGAACCTGATGAAGAAACCCTGGGCCCAAGGTTTCTTAATCAGGTTCCTACATAACGGTTTGTGCGACGTAACCGAGTGTGCAGGGGACGCGCTGACCATCCAGGGGCCCGGTGGCAAATGTCTGGCAGAAGCCGACGCAACGACCTTCTTAAAGGACGAGCATGCGCTACATGCATTGTTGCTGGGGTTCATTTTCTAGGCTCTTTCGTTAGAAGTGCGGCCTAAACGTGCTTTGACGTTCGTCCAGGAGAAGCTGCGACACACCCAAGCCTCCGGTCGATCTCTGACGGCGACCCGCCTGTGCTCGAGCAGTGTTCCTGGGCTTTCCATTCCGTGCTCGCATGCTTCTGAGGCCCTTCTCAAGGAGAGCCAGAGCCGTGGCCAACGTGTACTGGTGGCCGATGAGTCGAGGAGCCAACCCTCTGCACATCTCTGCACTTCCCCTGCCGGTCCTGCGTGCAGGCCACTGTTGCAGAAAATGGACAGAGCTGACAAAGCAGAGGCAGGCATGCGAGGGGATAGCCGCAATTTCGAAGCAAACATAACCATGTCCCTTCTGAAGCAGCTTGATTTCCTTATTCAAGACAACAGTGATCCACGTTGCGTCAAACGTTTGTGCGCCCTGCATAGTGCAATTGCGCGATCCCAGTTGTTCAGACGCTTAAAGCCTGTACGTAGACCCGTACAGCAATATTTGTTTGTTCATCTGCCTATGACAAGATGCATAGTTCCGCAGATCATAAGAGTGAAAAGGGATCCAGATGGTATAGTTGGCTCGCCCCGTGAGACTTCAGTCCTTGTCTTCCCCGACTTTTCTTACGAGTTCTGATGGATGCTTGACCGCTTCCGACAGGACCCGGTGGCCGTGGTTTTCCTCAGCAGAGAGGGGGGTGATGTGAACACTGCGATTGAGGCGTGTGCCAACGCAGGCCATAGATGCTTTTTGTCATCTCTTGACAATCTTGCACTGCTCTGCGGCATGCACTGGTCTCTGGCAGGCGTCTACTACTATGGTTGCGCTTCGGTTGGTGGTGTGGAAGCTGGAATCGCCTATGCTTCGAGCTTGGCTTCAAAGAAGCTACTTGCACCGTCGGCTTGCTGTAGCCTCTCCAAGCTAAGGTCAATGTCCTGCACAGTGCAGGAATGCTTGGGCGCTGCCTGGCAAATGCGGTGCCCAGACGTGCACCGAATCGTGCGACTGCGAACCTTGTTTGCAAACAGATCTCTGTCTGCATGCGCTCCTGCAACAGATCGTATCCATTGCGGCCCTTTCCCCTCTCGAGCACGTCACCCCCGTACTTTTGGCAGTTGTGATGCTTTTAGAGGCCCCACAGCTACACCCCCCTAGCTCATGTCCTGAGGAAGCCGGCGCAGGCCCTCTGTCCCAGCGTGAGCCGTGGGCTTGTCGGTGGGGCTCGGACCGGGCATGCGGCATACCAGCCATATGCCATATGCCCGCCAAGCCGAGGTCTCACCTCTCGGCTGCCTCCAAACCAGCGGCCGAAAGGAGCACCGTCGCCGTGTGCAAGCCAAGCGCAAGCAGACTTTCGCCCAAGCGCTGGGCGCCTGCAGGCAGCGGAAGAATGGCGCCCTGGGCGGCCGCGGCCTGCGGGGGACGGTCGGAGTGGCCAGCAGCTCTGGCGTGGCCGGAAGAGGTGGGGGGATCCCGGCAGATCCGATGTGGCCATGCGACAAGCCACATAAGCCACTAGCCTCAGGCATCGTCGAGCAGTGCTCAGAGCGAAGCTCGCTCTCAAGGCTGCGGCTTGTCTGCAGCTTTGCACCCCGAGAAGAAACTCTGCCATAAAAGGCCGGCCGCCCCTCATTCTATTGGAGATGCACTCTGTGCTGACTCCAGGAAATCACCTTGGCCTTGGCGATTAAGCCAAGGTGAAGGTTACAGCAGTCGCGAGTGGTCATGCTGTGACTGGCAGTTGTAAACGAACAAGCAGCAGTGGATCTTCTGTTTTCATCCGTTCAATCATCTTTTTGACTGAATGTTGATTCTTCCTGACCAGTCTTTATGGGGTGTTTCAAACAGGGAGCACAAGGCAAAATCCTCGACGACTCGAGGGGGCTTGACTTCAGACTGGACAACCCGAGGCGACGCTCTGCCGACGCCAACCACCGACCCTGGCAACACCGTGCTCAGTATGGACACAAACGGAGCAGAGCATCCCGAGCCAAGCGATGCGGCTCCTTCGAGTGCGGAGCCTGAAGAGAAGCTAGAGCCTGAAGAGAAGCTCGAGCCGGAAGAGAAGCTAGAGCTACTGGGGTGGCACATCAGTATTTCTTTTAAGTCTTCTAGCCTAACCCTCTGTGCACATAGAACAATGATACCAAGGAGCCCCCAGCCATCAGACTGAATGGCAGTGTTTCACAAATATCCTCTTGGACAAGATCAACATGGCTTAGCCTGATATGCTGGTAGTGACGCGCTTTCTACCTCTGGAGGGCAGCTGGAACATGCTTTACCCTCGTTTGACGCTTGTGGCCCAACGTCGGCCCACTGGCGCTGCGTCAGAGACGGTGCCCAAAGTGCAATCGCCCAGCTCAAGGGCATTGGCACCACGCCCAGACTTCGTCCTCGCGGAGTTGCCAGTCTGTGCTAAGCAGCACAGTACGCCAGGCAGAAAATCAATCGTCATGTGACGAGTCATGGCGAGTGAGAGCAACCACGGTCCTCCGTTACCAGGGGGCGGCATTCTGTTTGGGGAACGGGATGGGCTCCACTGTGGTCATGATGAAGGGGCATAATTACTGTTTTATAAGCTGAGTCAGCTCCAAGGCCAGCAGCAGTAGTGGCAGACGGTCCGTCTTGAAGGTTCGTCAGACCCAGTCGGGACGGTCTTGTGCTTGGCATCGAAGAGTGAGACAAGCGGGTCAGGGCTGTTCAGCTTTGTAATGTTGGTTGTTTTGAGGTCACTTTCTGAATCGGCTGGCCGCTGCAGCTTTTGTGCTTTCTGCCTGGGCCGAATTGTAGGGTAGCTTGCAGTATTCCAGCCTTTGGCAATGGGTGCCCCAAAAGGGAAAGGTGGCAAAGGAGGCACCTTGGCAGGCTTCTGCCATATGACATGATGTCGCCTGTTCACGCTATCCCGGAGCTGAGGCAAAGGCAAGGCGGTTGCGAGCAAGGCCGCGTGCGCATCGTGAGCATGCTTGTGAGATGCATCAAGCAGTTGCGTGTACTTTCAGGGCTGGCGCAAGATTTTTCGCTGTTGCCTCGTCAGGAATGAGTAGAGTAGCAGGGATTAGAGTGAGCTTATAAGCCCGCATGCTTTCGTTGCCAACTCGTCCATGACATGCTGCGTAAAAACAAAGACTCAGCTTCTGCAGGGTGGAAGTGTTTCAAAAGGTCTGGCACTCGGAAAGTTTGGAGTCCGGTAGAGTTGCACTATAAGTGATGAATCTAGGCTAGCTCAGGAAGGCACACGGAAGGGACTGACAGCTCAGTTTCAAGCTTGGGACTATTCACTTCTTCGATTTCTGCTTGAGGCAAGGGCAAGGGGGGCAAACCCAGCGGCAAGGCACGGCTAGTGCGACGGGTTTTCGTTCACAAGATTGAAGCTCCGTCCAGGGGAAAGACAATGGTGGCGAGAAGTGGATTCAAGCCCGGCGCCCGTTTCCCTTTCGCAGGTGTAGTAGTGTAGAAGACACTCGCCGTGACGAGCAACGAGCTGTCAGTCGATGCTGACAGAAGCGGCATGAGGTCAAGCCCACAGTGCTTGTCACTGGATGTGCTGGCTATGTGGCAACGAAGCTTGGCAAACGACTTGACAACCAGAGCTCAGAGGCTTCATTGGAGAGAGACATGATGCGACATCTGCCGATCTGAGGAGTATCATACGCAAGCTGGTCAGTGATGGGTACAAGGCCAACATGCCCTCCGAATGTTGTGCTTGGAATCAGTGTTTGCAACCTTTCCAGAAAGGGTGTTTCGGTTTTGATCTCGAATCTTTTCCTCGAGCTGGGTCATCTGATTTCCGACCCGTGTGCCTGTTCGAGTGCCAAAAGTCTCGAAGCCAGCCCCTGGCGTCTTAAAACAAGCCTCGGCCATCAGAAACCTAACCTGGAACGGATAAGGCATGCCTGCCCCTCTTCTCTCTATAGCCACGACAATCTGAAAAACACAACTTGCGTCGTCTGATAAAGAGGGCACAAACAAGATGGGCTAGGTCAGAATTAAGATTGTCGAGGTCAGAAAAAGGACGCGAGGCCAAAACGTATTTCTGATGGTCAAAAAAAACACCTCCTCCTGAGTGATGCGCCAAAGCCGTTGCATCTACCAACACGAGCTTGATCACACGCGTGCAGTGTTCGTCTTTCCATACTTTCCCGTCCACTGCTATCACCTCCATGGTGTGAGAGTCTGGTCTTTGCTTTGCTGTTTTTACAGAGTGTCTCCAGATCTGTCGATTTCCTTACATACGTCGCCGGGTTCCTCAGATTTTTTTCGATTGCCCGGCGTCGTTTGCTTGCTGCCTGGTCTTGGATGGTAACCAACCAGAAAGCCTCCGCCAGCGTTTTGTCTTTCTGCTCGTCGTTGCTGTTATATATCTCAGCTGTACTGACCAAGTTGATTCGTCGGTCGGTGTGCTGTTTGTAGGCATGAACTGGTTTCTATGTCGGAGCTTCGGAACTGGTTGGTGCTTCGGCTCCAGTGGTGTCCCTGGGGCACTGGCCAAGCTGCAATGGCGTACTCCGTAGTTGCAGCTGTCACAATGTATGGCTTGGAAAGAACGGTGCAAGTTCCTCCACCCATTCGGATGGAGACTGGAACCGGCCGAAAATTACTTTCATCTCGCTCCGAGCAAGGCCGCTCTCAACTCAAAAAGCAAAGGAAGGCATAGTCGGCATAGCACAGTCGGCGCATGATTTGGTGGCTTCGAGTGCAGTAGCGCGTCACTGGCAATGGCATAGAACCTCATTGAAGGCATTCGTGTCTCAGAGACTCAACACCCAAACGAAGGTGCGCGGCACGATGCGATCCGTGGACGTCAGTGACACTCGAGCCTGTTGCCCGGAGAAAGACATGCACCTGAGGTGTGCAGTGTCCTCGACACAAGGTAGCGATGATGAAGCGCATCTTCCCTCAAGTGGAGTTGGTGGAGGCATCTGGGCTCGCCCCAACGTATCTTGCCCCGCTTTCTCTCAAGCTTACCTTGTCCGAGGCTGATCTGCTAGGGGCAGAGGACAGCTTCGCCAAGGCTGGATGGACTGAGAAGATCTCATGTTCCAGTCGCCATTCCTGATGCAGCAACAAATGTCAGGCCATGGAAGGCTGCAAGTACGTCATCCACACGGCGTCACCTTTTAAGCAGCGGCCTTTACTCAAGCGAGACTGTGAGAGGACCATTGCACCACAGGCGTTGTCTTCAAGCCTCGAGGCTCGATGCCAAGGACGTCCAGGCGGAGCTCATCGCACCAGCGATAAAGGGCACCGAGGCAGCGATGAACTTGGCATGCCTTTCTCGGAGCTCAGTCAGGCATTAACACGAAGGCAGTCACATTAATTCGAAATCGGGCATGTGCTGGGCATGTGCATCAGCTGGCCATCGCATGCGCAAGAGGGCAGCTTGATGCGGTACTTACCACAACATCGGATTATTGCCCAGATGGGCTTGGAGAGGCTGTGATGCGAGCAGCAGCGAAGGCTCGCTCTTGAGACCGAGTGCTTTGATCAGCTGACGAGCAGAGTCGAAAAACTAACCGAATTGGTTCCATTTTGGCTTGTCTATGGGTGCAGGCAAAGATTTCCAGAGTGGTCCTCACCTCCTCCGTTGCAGCCATTGGAAACTGGACAAAGGCCGCTGTACCAACTCTGTGCTAAAGTGTATCGAAGAGACTTGACTGTGCGCGAAAGGAGGGAAAGTCGGGCAAGGCACGGCCTGCAGCTAATGTGCTGACTGCGTTTCTTCCAGAGATGCCAGCTGATCTGCTGTTGCCAGGTCTGGACTGAGGAGGATTGGTGTGAGGACGAGCCGGACGGTCCGGTTACAGGCCTCTGAATTCCATGCTTCGGCAGAAGCACAGAGTCAGGCAGTTTAATAGACAGCAAAAAGGTCAGGGGGCAGTTCCCTTCATGTGCTCTGATCGTGTAGGAATCCACCTCCCTGCACGGAAGAGCCTTTTCTGCCTTGGTGCTGCGCGGCAATATCGGTGCAGGTTACAGAGTTTCCAAGACCTTAGCTGAAAAGAAGGCTTGGGAATTGTCCAAAGAGCCTGTTCCTTATTGTTCGCTGAGGCCAGGCCCCAAAGTCCAAGTCGCAGATCCCTGCTTGGGCTCAGGTTAGGTGTTGAGCTGGCAGTTCTGAACCCGGGCTTCGTGATCGGTTGGATCCTGAGGATCCTATAAACTCCTGATCTTCTCTCTGCGCCCACTGGAGTCGAAGGCCCCATGCTTTCCGCGCGGAAAGATGGTGAGTCCGTGCAGTTCATGGTGAAAATGCTGGACCCAAGCTCAGCGTGCTCTTGGTACTTGGTATGTGTATCTGGCATTTACGTCTCCGTCTCGTGGTGTTACAGCAATTTCTGCCTGCCGAAGGATGGCACCATGAAGGAGAAGGCACCTCATATCATACGTTATATGTTATATAATCTATATAGTGTATATATATATATATTTATTTAACATATCCTGCAAAGTACAAATTACGTATGTATATATGAGAGTTGGCTTTCTGCGGAGCTTTGCGTTTGGCAGCTTCTGCTCGTGCTCCTTGCAGGCCGCTGCTGGTCAGCTCGCCGGCTACCCGAAGCCTGTCCGGCTCCCGATCTCCCCCCATCCTGTGGTGTGTATGATGGTTTAGGGTTTAGGATTTAGGTTTTGGGGTTTAGGGTCACCCGTTTTGCGTGCAGGTTACCGATGTTCGCGACCTGGCCCTGGCGCATGCTTGGACCTCAGAGTCGTGAGCCAAGTTGGCTTCTGGCCGACAGCTACTCTGCAACTCTGCTCGACGATGGATAGCGGATATCGTCTTCTTGCTGTTCTTTTAGGCTGGCGATGGGCGTGCTGGTTGCTTTCTGTGAACTCCCTTGTAACTTCCCTGTAGCTTCTCTTCTTCTAGTTTCTAGATGATTCTGAGATTCGTGGCATGGAAGAAGACATGATTCTCAACAGAGTTTTCATTCTCCGAAGTGGTGACGCCAAGCACCATAGACGCGTAGCACTGCAACATATGGCGCACTTTAACCCTGACCCTCCATGGGTGCTCTGAGAATGTTCACAACGACGTGTTTCTAGCAGCCCTTGTCTGGGGGAGGTCCGAGCAATGGAGAAAGAGGAGGCTGCTGGCAAGCGAGTTCTGATCTGTTCAGAAACTGGTTATACGTCAGCGCGAGCCTCGGCTCCTGCAGGGACATCATTCTCGCAGAAGGTGCTGGCAGGCTCCGTTACCATCTGACTCAGGCCAAGATGGCTTCGCTTCTTGGTGATCGCTTCAAGGCGAGAGGGGTGAGCTGCGGGATGCTGAAGCTGGTCTTCTCGCACTTTCAGAGCGGGTTTGGTGGAGGCGTACCCACTCCCAACGGAGAGCCAGGAGCAGGAAATTGATGCGAAGTACGACCCCCAAAGTCGGCGCTGTGTCTATGATCCTGGCATCCCGGTACGGTAGGAGTAAGAGCCCAGGTTCGACAACAAGAGGACGAAGGAGGGGTCCTTGCATCCTCTAGAGTCAGAGTTGCCCTTGCCGTATGGACATGTCTCGAGGAGATCCTGGGTGTCTCTTTGCGCCCCGTGGAAGTCTCCTTGCGAGATATGGCAGCTGCCGCGCTGAGGTGCTGCATGTGCGGCTTTACTCCAGCCATTGCTGAAGGGTGTTTACACATGTTTGTAAGCACATTGCAGGCTGGGAATGGTAGAACGAAAGCGGTCATCCTAGACCGAAAGCTGTTGACCGGAAACGTCTCTGTGTGTGGCTGTATGAGTTTTTCTGTGCAAACAAAGGTTCATCAAGAAAGCGGCCAAGGGATTTGGCAAGGTCACAGACATTATGACAGGTGCTTAACTGGACACTCAGTCCCAGGCCCTTCTAGTACGGTGCTTCAGACGGGAATCCTGCCTTACTGAGGCCAGACAGCAGGAGCGTGTACCTCCTCGTGAGTGTCGTCTCCATCGGAACACCCGAGGCCTCGTGAGCGCGCGGATACAGCGGGCAAGCAGCCGGCAGAAGCTAGGAACTGGTTGCTGGGTGTGCCAGGAGGGCAGAGGTGGAGACACAATCACAGAGGCTGCCATTGCCCATTTCTTCTTGTTGCATTTGATTGTGCCTGGAGCACTTGCGTGTTCTGCAGGTCGTGGTTGGCGACTCCACCGGAGTAGTGACTGTCCGGTTAAACAGCGAGGAGATGAAGGCAAGACAGAAAGCTCCCCGTCTCAAGGTGTGTGTGCTCTTCATTGCTCCAATTTGAAGGCTTTGGGGGCCGTCGGCGATGTGGTCGAGATCAGGAATGGCGCCGTCAAAATGACAAAGGCAAGAAGCACGTCACCTCAAACTGTTCATCTTTGACACAGCTGCGCGGTGCTGCTGATTTGCTTCCTGATGGACTGTGGCTCAAGCATAGCTCCTTCGCACCATATCAGAGCCATACATGTTTTCAGCGTGCATGTCCACTTCAGCGGGAGCTGCAAAGGCAGCAAAGGAGAGGTGCATGTGACATTCAGAACCAGACGGCCTGGAATCCGAAAGAGTTCCTGACCATCCTCGCACTCTCTTCGGTGGTTACTGAGTCTCCACTCTTGGTGGCAGGATGGGGTAATGCCCGTCATCGAAGTCAGAGCCGCGCAAGTCACGCATCCGCATCCTATCCGCAAGTCCGAGTCGTTCCTTTTCGAGCCTCCGCCGAGAGATGCCGAGGACTGGAGATCCAAAGTTTTCCGTGATGCAGCCTTTCCCAGCAGGAATTTCCGAAAAGGACGCAGACCCATTCCTCATGTGTGCTTGGGCTGCAAGCCTGTCGGGTGCTGAAGCAGGACTGTGAGAGTGGGTGGGGGGCAGAGGCAGATTGGCGCATGTCCCGGCAGGCGACGAGTTTGGGCCTTCCGTTAGCTCAGGCGTGGAGACCCACCCCGCCGCTTGGAGAAGCGATGGACTCCCGTCACTCCCCGAAGCAAAGGGTCAAAGAGCGGACCTGAGGACAAATTTCCTGTGGCATGGCATCCTCACATGGGCATGGACACTACGTGGCACTTTGGGGAACTTTTTAAGTTCCCTTTATAGAAGGTGCCTATTCATAAATGCTTTTCTCAGCCCCAAAACTACAAGCCAGGACATTATGACCTACATGCGAGAGGGATATGGCCGGCATGCAGACTCTCTCGGCAACCGAGAGACGCAACGGGCTCGTTCGCACACGTCGGCAGAGGGAGTGGCTGTGCGCGTCGGCAACAGATGCGAGGTTCCAGGGTCCCGGTTTTCAGTGGATCAGTGTTGGCAGCGGCATAGAGCACGCTGAAGGCGGTGGCACCCCGAAAGGCCAGGTGAGTCTAAACACCGTTCCTTGAGGCTGACCACCGCTCGTAAGTTGTTTGTTCTGACTAGGAGAGACGCAGCATGGTTTCCAGATTTGGCTGAATGTACCGAAAAAGCACAAAGCAGATGATCCTGAGCCCCCTGGTGTGATTTCATTTTCCTCTCTTGCTGTAACAGCCGTTCGTAAAGTGTCACGCAGATACGGGACGGTGGACGAGAAGCTCTTGCCAGTTTTCGAACTGGAGGCAAATATGCGCAGTCGCTTGCCATGCTCTTCTCTTGGGTCTTTCTGAGCTGGAGGAAGGTGCCGGCCAAGCGCGGCTTCTCGCGGGTCCCTATCATGGTCAGGCACTGTGGGGTGAGGATGAGCAGAAAGCGGTTGCCATGACATCAGAAGTCGAAGCTCAGAAGAGGGTGGGTTGGCCGCGACCCCGTGCAGGCTGGCGCTTTCAGGACGAAGCAAAGTGTGCAAATGATCGATTTCGAGGCGCAGTGTGCAGACTGTCCGCAGACTTGACGCCCTGAGCTCTGAACTCAGATCCTGCCTGGATCCACGGTGTGTCATTCCGTCCCGGAAGAGATGAATACGGTTCTGGTATACTGCTACAAAGGCGGGAGGGCTTTATGTAAATCTGCCAGCTAGAGCGCAGCCACAGCCGTTGCATGCCTTTGGACCGTGTTATACGATGATGGGAGGCCAGTGCCGCGTCGGGGCAGAGGGCAAAGTGCGACTGGACTGTACATAGTTCTGGTGCACCTTCGTGCGATTCAGGTTTTGCCGGATTCTGTGAAAGCCGAAGTCAGAGATCGTAAGAAGCTGCAAGAAGCCTTCAGAGGCGGTGCCTGTTTCTGTCCTGTCTCTGTGGCTATGCTGCTACACTGGCAGCGTCAGCTCAGGCTGCCCGCTCAGCACGTTGCTCGGCTAGATGCCAACAGGACGGCCGACAGGAGCCTTCTGCTGGAAGCATCGGCCAAGGAAGCCTTGCCTTCATTTGCCTAGCGCCTTAGCACCTTTCGCTTCGAGCCGAATTCGCATGGCAGAGAGGATGGCGCAAGTTGCCTGCTGTTTGCTGGCAAGCGCATCAATGAATCGAGACTCGCCCGAAACTGTAGCTCGCATCAGGCTGCAGCATTCAGGGCCATGCGCGGTCTAAGAACTCTGGTCTTGATTGAGTGAGGATTGCCTGGCACGGGCCGTTCGTGGCAACCGACAAGAAGGAGCTGATGCTCGCCTTCCGTGCCTATCAGGCGGCTTGTTCTGTTCCTTGGTGGCCGCAACGGATAAGAAGCATCTCCACTAAGGATGGCAAGTTCCCACCAAAGCGAGTTCCGTGGGACTATCGCAAAGCCTCTGCGAAGCCAGAGTGTGACGTGGTTTGAAGGTAGTTTCGGATCCATGAGGCCATCTGTGTTCTGGAGCACTTCAGTGCTGAACTGTCTGGAAGCCTTAGCATAGTCTCCTGCCCGTCTCCCTCGCAGACGCATGTGAGGAAGGGGTGCCGATTTCGGACTTTCTCGCAAATTGTTCTGAGGAGCAGTCACCTGGCAGCGAGTGCACATCGTCGCCGATTCCTGGACAAAAGATGGGATCACGACTGAGACCTTGTAAATACCACAGGACAGTGTCCTACAGCCACACTACAATTTGCCTATTGCATTCACCCAGATGGGTCGTTATGGATCTCCTGTACAGGGCTGGTCGGTCGTCCGCGTTGTGTGGCTTACCAAAAAATGCCCGGTCTGCTTCCTTGCTGAGCAGTGATCAAGCTGCGTATCACCAAGCTGGTAAGATCATTTGGTCAGCATGGCTCAGGGCTTTATCCGGCTCATCGTCGGCAAGCTCCCGCCTGAGAAATCGATACGTGCTTGAGTGCTTGCAGTTTGCTGGCACTCCACCCGCAGGTGGGGCAAAGTTGCTAAACACGATGGTGACACCACCGTGACTCCCAGCCAGGCAATATGTTGAAAGCGCATAGTGTGACCGTGTCTGTGTGAACGATCAACTGCAGGCGCGGGATATCTCCAGCACAGAGTATGAGCTCGTTGCAGCATGAATCTCTGAAGGCTGTGCTACTTTTTAATCTGGTCGTTCGTGTTTGCGAGTTGGCTAACTGCCGAATGCCGAACTTGGTACTGGTACTTGTGTCGAGGACGTCTGGACCATCTAACTAGGCAGCCGCTGATCGCAATCACATTCCAGAAATCGTGTTGCTGTTTCACGAGCTGTCGGCGTGGAGGAGTTTGTGTGCAGGCAGCTTTCCATGACAGTTTCAGCCTTTGTTGGTACAAGTTTCTGTGCATTGATGTCCTGACTTGCTGAGCATAGCATCTTTTGGTAGTGAGGGTTGTGGGGCCATAAGCCATAAACGCTCACTGCATGGCAGCTCCATGGCGTCTCGTAGCAATTCGGGGACAGAAGTCAGGTGTTGCAGCCCGAATGCAAGCAAGAGATTTTTAGAGACTGCAGGCGTCGATTTTCTTTGATAGCAAACCGCAACGTACGTGTGTCTCGTTGGCTGCATACCCTACCTCGCAAGCGGACACAAGATCTCGGCAAGCTGTGCATCAACGCCGCATGGGCCTGAAATGATTCCGATATTCTTGAAGAAGATGATTAGTGAGGTGCACGATTGCCATGTGCTTGCAATGTGTTTAAGTAGCCAGGACCTGTCGCATAGACGAAGCTATCTCGCGTATCTCGAACAAAAGCTGCAGTGCTGAGGGCCACCAGTACGGAAGTTGAACCAGATTTGATTCTTCTGGGCTCAATTCTATCCACGCCGAAAGCACCGCGACCGGGACGGTGCTCGACGCTGCCGATTGGAAGTCATTGTCAAGCATGGGCCGAGAGTCGTCCTCATACTTCTGAGACGAGTTCTTCCAATCCGGCAAGAAGACTGTTTAGGTGGCCCTCCACAACCGGTAGGAGCGAGTTGAACCTACCGTCAGATTTGCAGTTGCAGAGCAGCAAAGCACTCCTTGTGAGAAGGTGTCCCTGTGCAAACCTCGGGCTCGTACTGGAACATGTTCAGTCGAGGTATCTAGTACAAGACAAGAACATACTTACCCACGCACATACCTACCCACATACTTACATACCTACATACATACTGTTACATATATATATATATATATGTATACACACATAAGTGTCACATGTTGTATATGTGTATATGTGTGGGCTTTACAAGTCCTTTGGCTGCGATGTCGGGCCTGGAGCTGGTACAAGCGCTGAACGAGTGGCACTGGAACAACAATTGCTTCCACGATCACGTCCTGCAGTTTGCGAAGAGCCATGAGTTGGTCCTGAAATCGGAAGAGGATGAGCATTCTCATGAGCTGTATCAGCTCCACGAAGACTTCAGGCAGCTGCTGGAAAGCTTTGTTACGAGCTTTCTGGACCATTATGGTGCGACTCTAGACAATTTGGAGGCCGCGCTGCTTGAAGCGCAGGCCTCGGATGACCTGTACGTCACGATGAGCTCTGAGGTTGTTCGAGAAGAGCTCTTCGCGTTACTGGATTATCAGGCTTTCCATAAGACAATGCTTCGTGCAGTGGCAATGGATGCAGAATCACAGCGGCCAGTGGGTGCTCCTGCCGACGATGATTTCAGGGACACTGTGGGGCCAGGAAGGAACAATGGATACCTGTCATAGTATTCGTGAGATTTACAACAGCACAGACGGGCCGACCGGGAGCATCAGAACCCTTGTCTGCCTGATCAAGAGGTGTGCAGAAGAACATCTAGATCATCAATTCCGAGCGGCTGCTACCAAACGTTGACCCAACTTTGTGAAGGATCGTCGGATTACCGACGGACGTCGGAGGTGCAGGAACTGGACAAGATGGAGGCGGCCAAGGCTTGCATGCTACAATGCACAACTCAAATCTGGAAATCTCAAGAACTTTGGGAATTCAGATATCATGATTTATAAACTTCATTTCAAACTCAATCATTCGACTTGAAGAACTTATATATCAGATTATCGAAATAGTTCATAATTATTAAAGGTAGAAGATACAGAAATCTACTTACTGGTGGATCTCTCTCTCTCTCTATATAAATGGGCGCGTGGTCATTCCCCCACCCCTACACTTCAGCATCTTCGGTATTGCGCCCAATACAATACAGTGCGAAGGGTGCGCAGTCATGCCCCATACCGCGAAGTACGGTATAATTATAAACCCATATATTTCAAAACACATGAGAGAAAATATGGCACATACACGGTTCTAACAAAATTACGCATAAGATGCCCCATACCACGAAGTATGGTATAATTATAAACCGATATATTTCAAATCACATAGCAGAAACTATGGCACATACACGGTTCAGAATATATAATATTCAATATCTAGGAGATGTGCAGTATTTCGTGCGACACAATGATATAAGAATATAAGATAGAATGTACTCTAGCATGATAGAATACTGCTTTTTTCCGAATGGCATTCGCCACGCTATATCTGATGGTCGTAGACTATATTGTGTCACATAGAGTATGCATCTGGTTGTCAGATACTTTTTCTTTTCAGATTACATCACATCAAAATGTTTACTGTACCATGCTAACTTAAGTCGTGCTGTATTGGAGCATAACATATTCTATCATGGACTACGTTATATGGTACTATACGATTCTATTCCAGTGTATAGCATCAGCCGTTACATCAAATATTTTGCAAATGAAAAATAATGTGAAATATAGTACTGAATTATACCCAGATGTTTAACATAGATACGACGCGGTATAGGGTGAGATGACCTAATATAACCAAGCCTTCATGTAATATACTCTCATGTTGTATAGCCCATTATGATCTGTGTCTAACTCAAAATAACCTATGCATCAAACATGGTTCAACACAATGTTTGGAAGAATATAGTATCAGTAGCAGACTAACATATGCCGCACAGCATGATAGGATATCATTTCTTGGGCTTATGTATGATAACAACTATATAGAATGCAATTTGTAACAAAATTACGCATAAGATACCTGTATAGTAAAGCATAGTGTAGGAAAGAAGAGTATAGTGAACTGTAAAAGTTTAGTGTAGATCACAATGTAGTATACTGCCTAGAAAATAGCGTATACTAGAGAGCATAGTACATGACATGGTATGCATTATGTGTCTCCTCGAGTTCATGGAATAGTCTTTCGTGCAGAACAAGTACATTGTACACTAACGCCTATGGTTTATAGTATAGTCTGCAATATAGTCTGTCGTATAGTATTATGGTGTATAGTATAATCTGCAACACCGGTCTGTAGTTAGCTTAGAGCCGACAGCATAGGCTATAGTAGATACCAGTTCGATTTCGTATATAGTTGAAAGTATATAGATGCTACATAGTACCACACAGTCGTATGCATTTGCAAAATCTTCAGTCACTGTGGGATAGGGAGAAAAGTATATTTTGAACCATATGTAAAACAAGACAACATAGTTGAATATGATCTAATGGAATAGGTCGTGAATTACTGACCCTTAAGGCTTTGGGTGCTTTGACTCTTGACAACTTGGTGAAGCGAAGTGGGCATCAGTTTGTTGTGCTGTCAGTTCTCACACTCGTAATGCCAGAGGCCTGATCATACTCTTATATATATATATAGCTCGCTCTGCTTGGAACAACTGTCAGTTTACGTAACATTGAACCTGTAGCGGGCTATAGCTAGGCGTGAGTTTCGAAACACAGCGTATGTTTCGAAACACGCGCCTGCCACGGCCCCAACCCAGTATGTAACCCATTAACACATTGACCCGTTGACTCATTGACCCATTAACCCATTAACCCAATCATTCTGGCCAAATGAACTTGCCTTAACCCGTTAACCTATTAACCCAATAACCCATTAACCCGTTAACCCGTTAACCCATTAATCCATTAACCCGATCATTCTGGCCAAATGAAATTGCCTTAACCCATTCACCCAATCAGTTGCCCAATCCATTAACTCATTGACCCAATCATTCTGGCCAAATGAAATTTCCTTAACCCACTTACCCATTAACCCAATCAATCTGGCCAACTGAACTTGGGAGTAGAGTCCAGTCCCACTTGGGCAAATCATTGGGTTAATGGGTTAATGGGTTGGGCAAATGAATGGATCAATGGGTTAATGAGTTAATGGGTTAAGGCAGATCCATTTGGCCAGAATGATTGGGTTAATGGGTTAATGGGTTGGGCAAATGATTGGGTTAATGGGTTAATGGGTTAAGGAAATTTCATTTGGCCAGAATGATTGGGTTAATGGGTTAATGGGTTGGGCAAATGATTGGGTTAATGGGTTAATGGGTTGGGCGACTGATTGGATTAATAGGTTAATGGGTTAAGGCAATTTCATTTGGCCAGAATGATTGGGTTAATGGGTTAATGGGTTGGGCAAATGATTGGGTTAATGGGTCAATGGGTCGGGTTGGGGCCTCCTACGGATATGTTTCGAAACAGACACTAGTTTCGAAACCAGGTAGCAGAATCCATGAATATAAAAGCAAAGTTGCAGAAATGCAGGGGTGGGGGAATGACCACGCGCCCATTTAGGGCGCGTGGTCATTCCCCCACCCCTACACTTCAGCATCTTCGGTATTGCGCCCAATACAATACAGTGCGAAGGGTGCGCAGTCATGCCCCATACCGCGAAGTACGGTATAATTATAAACCCATATATTTCAAAATACATGAGAGAAAATATGGCACATACACGGTTCTAACAAAATTACGCATAAGATGCCCCATACCACGAAGTATGGTATAATTATAAACCGATATATTTCAAATCTCATAGTAGAAACTATGGCACATACACGGTTCAGAGTATATAACATACAATATCTAGGAGATGTGCAGTAATTCGTGCGACACAATGATATAAGAATATAAGACAGAATGTACTCTAGCATGATAGAATACTGCTTTTTTCCGAATGGCATTCGCTACGCTATATCTGATGGTCGTAGACTGTATTGTGTCACATAGAGCATGCATCTGGTTGTCAGATACTTTTTCTTTTCAGGTTACATCTCATCAAAATGTTTACTGTACCATGCCAACTTAAGTCGTGCTGTATTGGAGCATAACATGTTCTATCATGGACTACGTTATATGGTATTATACGATTCTTTTCCAGTGTATAGCATCAGCCGTTACATCAAGTATTTTGCAAATGAAAATAATGTGAAATACAGTACTGAATCATACCCAGATATTTAACATAGATACGACGCGGTATAGGGTGAGATGACCTAATATAACCAAGCCTTTGGTACCACATGTAATATACTCTCATGTTGTATAGCCCATTATGATCTGTGTCTAACTCAAAATAACCCATGCATCAAACATGGTACAACACAATATTTGGAAGAATATAGTATCAGTAGCAGACTAACAT